GGGCTCTCAGCAGAGGGGCCCCATCCTCTCTTGGGCAAGCACTCTGCTCTGTGTTTCTTCTGCCTCAGTTTGCTCCTGTCACTAAAGCAACTGACTGTGCTTTGAATCTCCTGTTCGTCACCCACCTGCTCTGTGTTTTTAAGACCCCGTGTCACCGTGCGTGCAGCCTGGCCCACTGCTTCTCACTGGGAAACTGACTTTGTGCAGTTCTTGTGTCCAGGACCTCGTTAAGTCCATATTAGTTCTAATATGTGTGTCTACCGATCCTTGGTTTTTCTAGGTAGATGACTAGTAACCTGCAAACTGACAATGTTGTCACTTCCTTCCGCATCCTTATATCTTTCTGCTATGGACTGAACACTTGTGTGTTTGTCCCTACCTCTCAAGTTCCTTGGTTGAAGCCATAACCCTCCAGTGTGATGGCATTTGGAGGTGAAGCCTTTGGGAGGTGGTCAGGTTTAGATGAGGTCATGAGGGTGGAGCCCTCGTGATGAGATTGGTGACCTTATAATAAGAGGAAGAGAGGTCTGTCTCCGTGAGCATACAAGGAAAGTGATCCAGGAGGAAGGCCATGCCCAGGAATAGTGTCCTCACCAAAACCCCGACCATGCTGGCACTCTGGCCTTAACCTTCCAGGCTCCAGACAGTGAGAAATAAATTTTTGTTGTTTAAACTACCCAGTCTATGGTACTTGGAGATAGCAAACTGAATTCACTATGATGCTCTTATTTCTTTTACTTTCCATAGAATGTTCAGGATTTCCAGTACACTGTATTTTGGATAGTGGTATTGACAGTCATACCCTTATCTTGTTCCTAACTTTAGGGGAATGCATTTAAAGTATCTCCATTAAGAAAAATGTTTGCTTCAGGATTTTTTTTTAGGTAAAATATAAATAACATAAAATGTTCCATCTTTGCTTTTTTTTTTAAATATATCTTGATTGACTTCAGAGAGAGGGAGGGAGAGGGGGAGAGAGAGAGAGAGAAACATCAATGATGAAAGTCATTGATCGGCTGCCTCCTGCACGGCCCTGACTGGGGATCGAGCCTGTAACCTGGGCTTGTGCCCTGACCGGGAATCGAACAGCGGTCTCCTGGATCACAGGTCAATGCTCAACTGCTGAGCCACGGCCGGCCAGGCACCATCTTAAGCATTTTAAGTATACAGTTAACTGGTATTAAATACGTTCACATTGTTCTGCAACCTGTACCAACGTCTATCCTTATAACTCTTTTCATTTTGTAAAATTAAAAACTCTATATCCATTAAACAATTCCTCCCCTCCCACAGTCCCTGGCAACTTCCATTCTACTTTCTATCTCTATGATTTTGACTTCTCTAGGGAACCTCATATAAGTGGAATCATACAGTATTTATCTTTTTTGTGAGTGGCTCATTTCACTCAGCTTAATGCCCTCAAGGTTAATCCATGTTATAGTATATTGCAGAATTTTATTCCTTTTTAAGGCTGAATAATATTCCCTTGCATGCATATACCATATTTGCTTATCCATTCATCTGCCGATGGACATAGGTTGCTTCCCTGTTTTGGCTGTTGTGAATGCTGCTATGAACATGGGTGCACAAAGCTCCATACTGGTTTCCACAGCAGCTGTACTATTTTACACTCCCACCCACAGCGCGCAATGGGTCATCTTCTCCACATACTCACCAACACTCGATGTTTTCTGTTTGATTGTAAACATCCTAATGGGTGTGAGGTGATGTTTCGTCATTTTGATTTGCATTTCTCCAATAACGAGTGACATTGAACATTTTTTCATGTGTTTATTGGCCATTTGTATAACTTCTTTGGAAAAATGACTATTCAAGTCCTTTGCCCAATTTTGCATTAAGTTGGCTTGGAAGTTCTCTATGTATTCCAGATATTAATCCCTTATCAACAAATGATTTTCAAATATTCTGGATATTAATCCCTTACCAACACATGATTTTCAAATATTTTTCAAATGTTTTTGAATATAAAACATTCATTTTATATTGTGCCTGACAGTTCCATTCTGTGGGCTGCCTTTTTACTCTTTGGATAGTGTCTTTTGATGCACACATTTTAAAAATTGCCATGAAGTCCAATTTGTCTATTTTTTCTTTTGTTGCCTGTGCCTTTGTCACATCCATGAAATGACTGCCAAATCCAATGTCACAATGCTTTTGTCCTTTGTTGTCTTCTAAGCGTTTTACTGTTTTAGGTCTTAAATTTGGTTCTTGATCCATTTGCAGTTTTGTACATGGAGTTAGGGAGGGGTCCAACTTCATTCTTTTACCTGTGGAAATCTAGTTCTTTACCAGACCTCAGGGAGCCACACCCTAAACATGTGCACTTGGCATTCAGCCGAAGACTCAAGCAGATCCCCACGCAAATTTCCAGGTCTCTCTGCAAAGCTCCCTCTTCTCTGATACCCCGCCCCACAGGTTCTGTTCCCTGCTGTCTCTCCAAACTCTGATTTCTCTCCCCAGTTCAGCAACACTCTCTACTGTGCTTGAACTCTCCCGTCCCGCTCCACGATCCAGAAAGCATGTCCGGCAGAAAGCCGGGAGGGATCCTGGAACACACTCTGCTTCCCTTGCCCTGGTTGATTGTGTCAGTTATTTCTGTACCAGTTATGCCAACACGTCTGGAAGCAAAATTCAGTCCATATCTTTGTTGTTTGATGATATCTTGTTCCTTGCTTATGTTTTCAGATCCTTCTTTTGTTTATTTAAACTTTGAAAACATTCATTTTATATTGTGTCTGACAATTTCCAATATCCAAAGTCTTGTATGTCTAATTTAACATTTGTGTTCATTCAAATGTTTGAACGAACATTTATTTGGCTTATGTTTTTAAATTTTGGATTGTGAGCTACTGTTCAACTGAGTTCTCTCTGAGGGAATACTATGAGGTCTAGGTTGAGAGTGAACATTTTCAGAGAAGCTTTGCGTTTGCTTCTGTTGGGCATCCTGGGGTGCTGCTCACTGGGCTTCCCAGACCTCATAGGCAGCATATATAGTAAATCTAGCATGTGAAGGCTGATCCGGACAGCAGTGGAACTTGCTTCCCCTTGCCTTTCAATTCTTGGGTGTTCTTGTGCTCAGAAGGGGAGGAGGGGTTGGATACCCAGGACCCCTAACAAATATCAGACCCCTTAGGTATCAAAGAATGCAGGCTTAAGAACATAGCACATCATTTCAAATCCATTACTAGGGGACAAATGTATAATTAAAAAAAAACATCTTTGATACAAATGATAGAAATTAAACCTCAAAAAATTCAGATTTAATAAGCATCTTACAAAGGGAGCACAAGTAGTTAAGTACAGAGCATGTCACTGAATGCCAGTGACATATCAGGGCCTGAAGACTATCTTCTGGGCTCTGAGAACAGGGGGTCCTCTGGGGTCCTCACCATTCTCCTGGGAAGTGTCGCTCTGGGAGCATCAGACAAGTGGGGCCAGAGCTGGTGTGCTGCCTGTTCTGCTCAGGTGCCACCAGGGAGGCATTAGCCCACCCAACAGGCTGCCATCTCTGGGCCCTTGATGCTGGTGAGGGTTCTTCAGGCCTGTTAGCTTGGGCACTGAGGGTGGGCTAAATGGGGACATCAGCATGGAGGGGCCACAGAGGCTCTGGCTTTCTGGGTGCCACCAAAGGGTCCCTGAGTGGCCTGTCACTGCCTCTTCTGTCCCACTCCATGGCTGTCTCCCTCTCTTTCCGCCTGCCCTTCATTCTCCCTCCTCCCTCATGTCTTCTCCTCCCCCCCTCCCTTCCTTTCCCCTGTGCTCTCCCTTCTCATCACCTGCCTCCCCATCTCTCCCTTAGTCTCTTCTCCCTCTGCTCTGCTTTTCTCTTCCTGTCTCCCCTCTCCCCCTTCTCTCTCACACCATTTGCCACTTGGGCCAGAACCTGAGCCATTCCCACCCAGTGAAGGGGAGGAGGGCATAGTTTAGTTTAGCCCCATTGCAGACCTCCCCATGGTTAATGTCTCCTTGGGCTTGGCTTCCTAGTCAGGCTTGTTTCCCTGGGAGTGGGACAATCCCGGGCTAACTTCATGGCCACAGAAGCAGCTCTGGGTCAGAGCACCCAAGTTTCCAAGGACTGGGCCTGGAAGAGGGCTTTTCGGGGGCTTCTGGCCTTATAGAGCCAGCCTAGCCCATGGCCTCACCCAGATGCTGGAGGCATGCTTGTTTATTACATAGAGGCTCAAAGAGAGGGGGTGAGGGCTGCGGAGGCAGGGCAGGGTGGGCGAGGGGGGAGCCTCGTCTAGGCCTGGCACTCTGGTGGTCAAGGGGCCTGCATTACTTCTTGGAGGACACTTTCTTCCAGGAATTTATCTTCTTACTGCCCCTCCTGGCTTTTCTATGAGGATGCAGAGCCACATCAGGATGTTTCATCCTAAAAATCAAAATAGAGAGAAGCGAATACTGGGAAATGAGTGGAGAGGGCTGGTCTGGGCAGTGCCTGAGCCCTGCCCTGGCCTGGGCTGAGGTGGGCGTTGCCTCCACCTTGCACAGCTGAGGTCCTCTAGGTATCGCTCCAACCTGGGGGTCCTGGTGGCACCTGTGACTTTTCTAGGCGCTCACAGTTTTGCTTTTCTGTCTTCATGAGAAATGTGATTTTTCACACTCTTGCAGAACACATCTTCACTTCACAGTGAACATGGCCAAGTTAGTGGACTTGACAGGTCTAGGAGGTTTCTTGCAGGGAGATAGCCGGCAGTCTCCACCCCTCTCAGACAGACAGATGGGCCTGGGCTATGGGGTTTCACCACAAAGCTTAAAGGCCTCAAACTCCACCAGCCAGACCACTGCCAGAAGCAGCTCCAGGGAAAGCAACTCGGCAGCATGTTGATAAAAGGGGCCAGAGGTCAGGGATTGTTGGAGATGACCTGTGCCCAGGGGGATGTGACCACCTAAGGTCACTTAGCCCCGTGTGGCCTCTGTGGGCCATACCTGTTCTGCCCACCACAGGAGGGCCCCTCGCCCTGGGTCAGGGAGGCCACCTACTTCTCCGCTTCGGGGGAGGGCTCCTCCATCTTGTCCCCTATGGTCAATGAAGAGGCGCTTCCCTGGCTGTCTTCCAACATTGCTCTCTTGTCTGAGTCAGGGTCATCCAGGCCCAGGATGGAGGCTGACGTGCTGCAGGGAAGGCAGGGAGGGGAGGCAGTGCTCAGTGGGAGCACAGGCAGAGGGGGCCGGAGCTGGGGGTGCCTGGGCAAGCAGCCCTCACTCAGAGCTGCCCCTTCGAGGTTCCAGTTCCTGGAGAGAAAGGGCACGGGCGCTTCTCCAGAGGGCGTGTGAGTGAGGAACCTGACCCCCTGGGGACCCAGAGACTCACTGGAGGTGGGCTTCCCTGGCTTCTCGCGAAGGCTGGAATTGCCCTAACTCTGTGTCCGCGACACTTGTACACCCAGCCTGGCCATCAAATGAGCAAAGGAGAGAGGACAGGAAGCCAAGAAAATAAGTCATCATCTACAGTGTTATGGGCTGTGTCTTCCCAAAATTCATACTGGAGTCCTAATCCCTAGCACCCTAGGATTAGGCAATAGGGTCATTGCAGAAGTAATGAGTTGAGAAGAAGTCATACCAGAGTAGGGTAGGCCTCAATCTAATAAATCTGGCATCTTTATAAAAAGGGGGACATGTGGACACAGACATGCACGCAGGGGCATTGCCTCATCCTAGCAGGCTTCTACTCTTTCTTCTCCACAAGCTGACAAGTCTTACCTCACCAACCAGGCCTGGCCTTCACCTCACACGTCTCTGGGTGCCCTAACAGAGTGGCTTGACCCAGAGCAGGTCAGTGACAGGCTCACAGTGCCACAAAACCCTGAGCTGAACCAGAGCCTTGCTGAGAACTGCCATGGCTGGTAGGGACAGTTGCCTGGGTGTGGAGCTGGGGAGGCAACTTAGGACGGGGTGTGTGTGGTGGGGGGGTTCGAGGGTCAGCTCTGCCACGCTCCGTCCCTGCACACACACAGAGCTCACACTCTCTTCTGAGGGCCTGGCTTGATGCCTCTTTCCCAGGAGCTGTAGAGGTCCCTGAGGACAGAGTGAGCAAGGCCTTGGGAAGCAGGCTCTAGGTGGGCCTCCTTGGGCTGAGGGAAGGTGCTGGCATGAGCAGCGGGCAAGGGCGGAGTGCACTCCCTCAGAGCAGCCTCACTGTAGGAGGGCCTGGTGGAGGTGGCTCCTCCCTGGACACTGGGCCCACTCTCCCCATCCCCATCCTTCGAGGGGTCCTGGCAGGGGCAGCTGAGGAGGGCATGGGCCCCCAGCACAGCTGACTCGAGGAGGGACCCAGGCCTCCTGACACTGCGCCCTGGCCTTCCCCTTCCTGCCCCTCCACCCCCCTTGTCCCAGTCAGCCTCCTCCTGCCTCTTGTAAGGTAGGCAAGAGGTAGGAGTGTTACCAAGCGGCACAACTGTGAAGAGCTTCCCCTCAATATGAACGGCACTCTACAGTTTACAAAGCCTATTGAGTATTACATGGGCATTTACATAGCACTGTGCCTTTCCAGTTTGTAATGTACTCTGCACCTGACAGAGCGCTTGCCAGTTTATATGGAGCTTTGTCATTTATGGGGTGTCTTGTGGTTTACAAAGTGCTTTTCAGGGTCTAGGGTACATTGCAATTTATAAAGCACTTTACAGGGCTTCCATCTTCCAGTTTGGGTAGAGGGCACACAGCAGTTTATGACGCTTTGCAGGTTACAGGGCACATTGCAGCTTCCAAAGCCCTTGGTGATTTATTGGGCATGCGGCACTTTACTGAGGACTTTGCTTGTGTAGATTTCATGATAGCGTGGAAGGTGCTCTGTGGTTGACCGGGCATGTTACAGTTACATGTTATATGTTACTGGGCTTGGCGGTTTACAGGGCACGTGGCATTTTGTTATTGCAGGGTGCATCATCTCTTACAGCTTTTGTTTCTCTCAACTCACTCTTCTAAGAATGGCCCTGAAAGAATGATGTTCTCTATTCACAGGCAGACAACTGAGGCCCAGGGAGAGCAAGTGACACATCTGAAGCCATGTCTGTGGCATGGCCTGGCACCCTGCCTCTGCAGGGCACACTGCCCTCGCTGGCTCCCTTCTCCAGTGGGAGGGGTGCACCAGGGGCCCCTTGCCTCAGTCAGCTTCTCTGTAAGAGACTTGCCTCCCAGACCCCCACATCGCCCTGCAGCTCTGCATGCAAAGCTGTCTGCCAACATCCTTCTCGAAACAGGAAACCCAGAGATGAAACGCTATCATTCTAGGTGCTATGCACCTCCCTCGCATTGTATGCTGACAGTTCTGCCTTTTAAGATTTTTTTCAGCATAACAGTCTGTCATGCTGGGACTTCCACATCCACTGACCATAAACCTTCCAAATCTAAAGGTGAACATTTGTTCTTCTTTCTCTCAAAACACCTCTTGCAAACCTCGATTCCTTCATCTCTCCACCTCTAGTGCACAGCTGAGCAGCAAGCCTCCCATGCACCCATCCAAGTTGCATATTTAGGAAACAAGTGGACAGGCCAAGTACAGAGGTCCGCCCTTCAAGCTGCCACTCCTCACTGCTCACTGGGTGTGGCTGAACAAGAGGCTACCCGAGCCACATCTATCCATTGTGTCCATAAGGACGTCAAGAGCTTTCACCCAGTGACTTTCCAAGTCCAGATAATCTAGGCTGACAGCACGTCTCTCTAGTTGCCCTGCTGGAGGAGGAACTAGGGTCGATGGGTGGTTTTAAAACATGCCCACAAGTTCTTCAACAGTACTCCCATCAAGAAGTGGGGTCTTGTTCCTCTCCCTTAAACATGGGCTGGACCTAGGGACTCACATGCAGGGGAAGGTGATGCTAAATGACTCATGAGGTCGAATCATTAAAGGCAATGCAGCTCCCACCTGGCTCTTTGGGACCTTGCTGTTGGAACCCAGCCGCCATGTTGTAAGGAAGCCCAGGTCATGTGGAGTGGCCACGTGTGTTTCAGCTGACAGTCTGCATCAACTACCAGCAATGAGAGTAAACAAGCCTTTGAGAGAACTCCAGCCCCAGCCAATTTCTGACTCCAGCTACACAAGAGACCCAAGCAAAACCCACCAAGCTGAGTCCAGTAGACCCTCCAACCATCAGAGACAGTAATAACAAATAATTGTGTTATTTTGCACCACGAAACTTAGGGTGGTAGTTTCACAGATATAGATAACAGAACTGTTGTTATGGCAATATTTTCTTATAGACATTCTATTTCCTTTCTCCCTAAGTGTTTTCAAACTGTCAACCTAATAAGCCATTCTGGAATTAGGAAGAGTCCTACTGGTTTATAGTTTCAGGAATCTGCCCCTTTCCTCTTTCAATAACCTAAACCATCTGTGGTGTGTGTGTGTGTGTGTGTGTGTGTGTGTGTATGTGTGTGTGTAGTTTTCTGATTCTTTTTCCACTATTCCTCAAAAATTGTTGAAAACTGTAAAAACATACTATTAAGGCCTTTCAGAACCCAGAACTCCTTTTAGTAATAATAATAATGGCATTAACAATAATGGCAATAATGGCATTAATTTATAGCCTCTCTGTAAATGTTAGTGATGTGCTATCATTTCATATGTGTTGACTTATCTAATCCTCACAACCCAAGACAGGTAAAAACTGCTTATTCTTGCTGAGGCACAGAAGGTAAGTGGTTTGCCACACAGCTACTAAAGGTCGCCAGACTCCTTTTCCTACTTTCTTGCCTATGTTAGGCATAGACTGCCCTTTCCCATTAAAGGTCATTCTCCTTTTGAGGATAGCAGAAGCCAAGTAAGAGCTGTGTCTTTTTGTAACTAGTTTTTTGGCTACCCCCACTCCCCACCTACTACATCCCCAACTGGCAGACTGGGCTTCTGAATGTCTCTGAAAATGCCTTTGCTTGTCGTCTTTGGCCTCAGCTCATCTACATTTTGGGCTTTTCAAATTGTGTGCTCCCCAAACCCCTTTAATCTTTGGTGTATTTCTTAACTTAAACCTGAGCAACCTCACTCCCTCTGGAAGAGGCCATGGACATTAGGAAGGGCAGATGCTGACAGGTGCCACTGAGAGCCCAGGCATTCTAGAATCCGCTCCTTTCTCCTAATACAGCCTTCAGCAACGTCATGGCCCCTGGGCTCCTTCCCTGCACCAGGCTGTATGGTTCTTGAGCTGAGAGACCTATCTTTGCTCATCTCACCCAAGCTGGGCCCAGGCTGTGCTCAGCAATGGGCATCACCTGGTTGAAAAGCCAGTACCCAGAGGCCGAGAAGCAGACCTCAGCCAGGCTACCCCACTGCCTTTTACAAGGACCTGAGATCACTCCATGAATGACCCTCATCTATGTGGCCCTGCTGGTAAACAAAGTAGAAGCAGGACTTGGATCGCACAAAGGATGGGATGGGGTGGGGTACAATGGGACAAAAACGGGAGTGTCACTGGGGCTCCTACCCAAATGCCGGCCTCCATTATTTCTCCTACAGAAACCAGCACTGGGCAAACAATCCTGGCCCCCTCTCTGTTCAAGAGGGCCCTTCTCCCAAGCGTGTCACAAAGAAAACAGCATGGCCTTGTCCACCCCCTCACGGCCTGCTCTCATTCCCATCCTGCCTACTTGCGAAGTCCTCCCATGCCAGCTTCTACTGTGGACTGCGGGTGGGACCATGGTGTCCCCATCTCTGCCCCCTCTCACCTCACTGCTCTTTGGCTCACCAGTGCCCCTTCGTAGTGCCTTGACTCCTCCCTCCCCTCCACCCATCCTTCCTCAGTCCGAGTTTTTCCCATTTTACCTAAATTTGTAATTCTCCGGCAGGAAGTAGCCCATCTTGCAGTCCTGTCGAGCCTGGAAGATCTGTTTCAGCAGATTCTGCTTGCTGAAGCCGTATCCATTCAAAACGCAGCCCCCAAAAAGGAGCTTTCCCCCAGCGAACATCTGATGACAGACAGGAAGGAAACTGAGGGAAGAGGCCATCAGCATGCCAGCACTGACCCTCAGGACAGTGCCACAGGCTCTCAGAGCTTGTGCCAGAATCCAGGACTTTGGTGGCCAGGGAAGGGGTGTTGCCCTTCCCAAGTCACCCAGCGAGGTGTGGCTAAGCCCGTCCTCTGTCTAGGCTCCATAGGTCAGAGGCCAGTCCCATAACCCCAGCCTCTCCCCCCTGTCAGACAGACCAGTTCAAATGTCACTTTATACACAAGACCTCCCAGAACTCTGGGGCCAGAAGGGCGACTTCAGCACCAAGGCAGCTGGCCTCAAACCCACTCTGATACGCGCATCAGCTGGTCCCATGGGATGGGAGCCCCTCGAGGGCAGGGATCTTGTCCTACAGCTCTCCATGTTCCCACCTTCTAAATGCCAGTCTCCAGCAAGTAGAGAACTGTCCAAAGATTTCTGTGCAAGAATATTCATTAGTGCTGTTATTAAAAAAAAAAAAAAGCACAGGTAGAAAAACCGAAATGATAGATTCTTACACAGCGATTAAAAATCAGGTGTTATAAACTGTTTTACGACATGGGGAAATGCGCATGTCATTTTAATTTAAAAAGCAGGACGCCAAAGTCAGAGAAAGACTGAAAAGGCCAGATACCAAAATATTAGCATGGGTGTGGCCCATGGCCTCCCACAGCACTGACCTATTAGGCGCCGGTGCACACTTGTGTAACAAATGGGGCAATCTGGGTGATATGATGAAGTAACTATATTCTAAATTGTATTTTCCAAATTTTCCACAATGAATTCACAGGGTGGGGCAAAGTAGGTTTATAGTTGTGCGTATACGAAACACAGTTTATTCTTGTATTATTATTTAATAATTATTGTATTATTTTTTACGAACTGTAAACCTACTTTAGCTCCACCCTGTATATATTTTTACAATCCAATGTTTCTAGTATGAAGTTATTTAAAATAAACAAACAGATGAAGAGAACTTGGGATGGGGGACACACGGGGTCAGTGTGGAGACAGGAGGCCAGGCTGGGAGAGAACCCCACAGGCCCCCCATCTTCCTCCTCCCACATCTGTGACTCCACAGGGGTAGGGCTAAAGCGACTGGGGTGGTGGTAGCGAGTGGTGGCGAGTCCCCTGCCGGGCTCACCAGAACCATCCCCTTCATCACAGCATACTTCTTCACCAGCAGGGGCGGGGCCTTCTGCAGGGGGCTGTCCAGGTCGTACCGCAGCAGGCGGTAGGGGTCATGCCGGCACTGCCAAGAGAATGAATGCCTGTCACCCCCATGCCAAGAGGATGCTCTCAGATGCCCGCATTCTCAGTGAGTCCTGGGGCTCCATACAACATCCCCTCCCAACTCCTACTCAAGGGGCTGTTCACCCCCCCCATGCACGCCTCCCATGGCCATCCCAGAGAATGTCCCCACATTCACTTAGGGCCCTCTATTGGTGAAAGCTGCCATGGAGATGATCGCCCTCACCATGTGACATCCACGACTAGCCTGGCCCTCTAGAGTTTAGGGGACATCCTTGTTTCCTCTGCCTGAGAAACTGTGGAGATTTGAAGGTGAGGACCGTGTTCCCTAGTGTACCCATTTCCGGGATTCTTCTGCTCTCTATTCACCTGCTGGCTGCCTTCTGGACACCTCAGAGTCATTAAATCCACTGAATTGAGCCCAAACCTTGAGGTAGGGCCTAGTCAATCCAGAGTAAAGCTGGTCTCTTTCTTTCTTTCTTTTTTTTTTTTTTTTAATATGTCTTTATTGATTTCAGAGAGAGGAAAGGACGGGGGGAGAGAGAGATAGAAACATCAATGATGAGAGTCATTGATCGGCTGCCTAGCCCGCAACCGGGCATGTGCCCTGACAGGGAACTGAACCCTGATCACCTGGATCCCAGGTCGACGCTCAACTGCTAAGCCACGCCCGGCTGGGCAAAGCTGGTCTCTTTCTCCTCCTTTTTTCTGGATGCTATGGATCCATTAATATGGCCAATGCAATACTTTCTGGTTTTATTTGCCTTTTATTTCAGGTGCCTCCAGTTGTCCTGTCTGAACTTCCAGTTTAAAATGTAAAACCCAGAACCACACCTGGTGTGCTAGCTATCAGAGCAAGAGAACATCAGGGAAGGTTTGTTTTAAAACCCTGAATGGTGGAATCGGAGTCAGGGTAACTGAAACCACCCTCCAGGTCTGCTCCCTGCACTCCTGCCCATCTGCCATGGCCTTCAGCCAGCGCAGGCCAGGCCCTGGCCCTGTTCATGCTGCTCATGGCTGGGGGGCACTACCATGCATTCCTGTGCTTATGGATAATTACTGGTGAACAATTAATAGCCCTGAAGTAAACTAAAGTCAACTCTAAGTTTAAAACATATGTGGCTCTGATGTATGAGACTAGACAAAACCTTCTTTTATCTAGTCTCATACATCAGGAAGGGTTCCAATGCCATGCTCCTGGCACTGGCTGGAGTTCAGGTCCGAGGGTGGGTACGTCAGGGTCAGGAAGGTGGCACTCCTGGGAGGGGGACTTGAGAGGGTGTCCCCAGGGTGTACACAAACCCTCAGAATCTGGGGCTGCAGCCAAAGGAAGACAGGGCTAGACAATAGATTTGAGAGGGTACCAGGACAAAGGGTTTGAAGGAAGGCACCAGCGTGCTTGTGCTCACGTGGCATCCTCTGCTCCAGTTGGGGACAGGGCCACCCCTTGAACTGTTCTAACTGCTGGAATGGTTGCTGCCTCAGGATGATGATGATGCTACCTCTGGAGCAGGGAGGGCAGGTGGGCTCCATATGCCCCTGACTGACTGACCCACAATGAACTGGGACCTCAAGCAGCCTTTCCTCTGCTTACCTTGGCATAGGCCACCGCCTCTGCCAGAAGCACTCACCACCCACCCAGACCCTTTCCTCCTGGGGGGCTCTCCCAGGCCCTTGAGAGGTGTTCCTCTGCTCCCCTGCTCCTATCCACCTAGAGCTGTCCTTTCATGGTCCCCATTGGGGTTTGCTGTAGTTCCTGCCCCACCACGTTGGGTGCTCCTGAGGATCTCGGGGTGAGTGTGGCTCTGCTCTAAATACATCAGCACATAACCACACACGGTGGTGGTGAGAGCTCTGGGAGAAAACAACAGGGGGCTGATTTGTCTCAAGGCCAGAAAAGGCACCCACCTTGATGTGGTGACATTGGTTCTGGAGACAGTAGGGAGAGTGTGTGCAAAGGCCCCACGGGGAAAGGGAAGTGAAAGAGGGCCGTGTGTCAAGGTTGAGAGGGAGCCGCTCAGCCAGGTGCTCGGCCAGCCCTAGCCCTCCCGGGGGCTCCCCACCCCCAGACACTGGGGGCTCCTCTGCTGGGCCCAGAACCCACCTGGACGCAGGGCGAGGCGCGGCCCTGCTGCCGGTGACTGTAGAGTGTGCTGAGCAGCCACTGGAGCTCTCCTGTGCTGGTGGGGCTCTGGCCAGACACGATCCCAAACACCAGCACCTGGCTGGGGTCGCGAGGCGCAGACAGGAAGCGCTCCAGCTCCAGGTCGGACACCAGGGGTGGCTTCACTATGCACTTGCAGCCAGCATGGATGCCTTCCTTACAGATGAGCTTCCGCAGCACCAGCGGGCAGTCAGAGGGTGAGGCTGCCCACCCGGTGGGGCTGCGCACCTCCTGGCTCTTCCCTCTGCAAGGAGCAAGTGGGCAGGCGCTCAGTGGGCCCTGCCCACACGGACAGAGGCCCGCTGCTGTGGGGCCTAGGCTGCAGGCAGTTCTAGCCTGGCCTCCGGCACCACATGCAGCACCGCCTTGAATGGGTCCCCTAACTTCTCCGGGCCTCGGTTTCCTCAGGTGCAAAATGCAGTTAACAAGTGACTCAACCATTCATCCATTCAACGGAAGCTTTGCAATCATCCTCAACTCCTTTCTCTCACACCCCATATTCTATTCAACCTACTAGCAAGTCTGTCTGCTCTCCATTCAAGAAAGATCCAGAGTCCAACCACATTTCCTGTCCCCCCACTCCCATTAACATGGTCCAAGCCTCCATCATTTCTTGCCTGGATGCCTGTAAGTGCCTCCTAACAGATCTTCTGCTTTCTCCCCTGGCCCCTCTTCAGTCTATTCTCTGCCCAGCAGACTGTTGCGATATTTTTTCTTTATTTAAAAAAATAGTTTATTGATTTTTAGAGAGAGGGGAGAGAGAGAGAAACATCAATGTGAGAGCGTAGCATCGATTGGTTGCCTCCTGCATTCCCCCTACCAGGGATCGAGCCTGAAACCCAGCTATGTGCCCTGACTCGGACAATGTTCCAACCAACTGAGCCACCCAGCTAGGGCAGGACCTTTTTTTTAAATTGATGGGATGATTCTAAAATTATATGGAAATGTAAAGGGCCAAGAACAGCAAAACAATTTAGAACACAGTCTGAGTACTTACTCTGCTGTATATCAGTACTTACTATAAAGCTGTAATAAGACAATTTGGTATTGGTAAAGCTATAATAAGATAATAGGGAACAAAACAGAAAGTCCAGAATGTGACCCTTGATTTATACATACTTATTGATCTGATATTCAAATTTCATATCATTTCGCGTATCATGAGAAATTCTTCTTTTGATTTCTCCCCAAGCATTTAAATACATGAAACCATTCTGAGCTCACCCATAAAAAAGGCAGGCAGCAGAACCAGATTTGCACATGGCCCTAAATTGCCAACCTCTGTTCTAACCCATTACACTGATTTATTTTCTTCCTAGCCTTCTCACTATCTAAATGACTTCAGTTATTCATGTGTTTATCTTCTAATGAGATAATTGCCCCATCCTGAGAATTCTAACTCCAAGAGGGAGGGGCCTCATCTATTTTCTTCACCATTGTGTGTCCACTACCCATCACAGCATCTGACACACGGAAGTTGGAGGAAATGAAGGCCCAAGCCTACCTGGGTGTGACCAGGGCTTTGGCACGGATCTTGATGGTCTTTTTCCTAGTGGGGCTCACAGGAGCAGACACAGGATCTTCTTTCAAAGACTCTCCAATCAAGGATTCGTGTGGGGCTGACTGATACCGTGATGGAAGGCCTTCTGAGTATACACTTGGCTTGGTGCTCCGCTCGAGAAACGGCCAGGATTTCATTCTGGTTCGACTTATTTCTGACGATTCCCTTACTGTATATTCTATGGTGACCAGGCCTGTTAACAGAAGACACGCTGTTACTCTCCCTCTTGGCCTGGCCTTACCTCCCTGCTGTGAGGCTCTGCATGTGGGCACCCTTCAGCTCATCTCCCTCTCCACTCCTTCACTCTTGTAGATTCTCCTGCTGGGTTGCCTGCCCTCTGTTGTCTGGCACAGTGCTCTAACTCTAATACAGTTAGTGGACCAGTAAATGCTGGGTCCCTCTTAGATCCCTCTTCTCCCAAGAGGCCTGTGTTTCAATCAGCTTTGTGTCCTCCACAGCACTCAGTATAGAGACTGGGTACACAATGCATCCATTCTGTTCCCTTCCCTGAGAATGCTGTTCCCTGTGTCTCCAGATTTAAGTCATTTCCATCTACTTTCTTTGTTACATTGCATTTATCTGTATTCTTACTTTCCTTTCCTACTAGACTGGAAAACTTCTGAGGCCAGGAGCTCCCATTTCTTCATTCGCTTACCATCTATTGAATGCTGGGTGCTGGGCACAGACAGACAACCCAAAACAGGGTTCCTGCCTTTGGAAACTCCTAGTGGCAGTATATGAGGGATACGCAAACAGAAATATTCACGATGCTAGGTAGTAAGATTTATAATTAAGAGCACACATAAAGAGCTGTGGAGCCCAGAGGAGAGTGTGTCCCATTCTGCTGGGGTAATCAGGGAAGGCTTTCCAGAGAAGCGGCACATGATCTGAGTCTTGAGGGATGAGGGGAAATACCCCAGGGATGCCATGAGGGGAGCACAGCCCTTCCATGCCCAGCCAGGGGGTGGCATGGAGTGGCATGGGGTGGGGCAGTGTCAATGTTCTTTTGTCCACGGGTTTGTCATCAGTGGGAAGAGTCCAGGTGTGGAAGGGTTTCCTGAGGCTACCCACGCAGGCCCTGGACAGCCTGGTGAGGTGGCTGCTTTTTTCTCCTCTGCTGAGATCTTCCACAACAAGGAGAGAGGAATGGGGCTGCAAATGGATGGTGGGCAATTTAATAGATGGAGCCAAAAGGTGAAGCAGGTGCTGGGTGGGGACAGAGAGACATACGGAAAGATGACGAGGCCCAGGAAAATAAGATAGTCACATGGAGACATTCAAGACACATGGGAGAGCGCTCAAAAATCGAAGGTGGCGAAGGTCACCATTATTAGCTGCATGGCCTTGAGCAAGTTCCTTCAGCGCTCTGAGTCCAGTAATCCCATCTACCAATGGGGAAATCTCCCTGTCAAGCCCTGTCAAGCTGTCCTTGGAGACGACCTGCAGGTAACTCAGGATTTGGAAGCCATCAGATATGCTGTGACCCACCTTTCTGCCCCCTTACCTGCCGCCAGTAAGACAGAATTCATGAACTGAGACACTGCCTTCTGAAACCGCCTCTTGATCTCTGCCAGGGCTCGGCTCATCTTAGACAGCTTGTCGTCCAGGCTGCTGATCTTGTGGAACATCTAGAGAGAGGCCAAGGGGAGGGCATTGTCACCTGTCCTGCCAGGGGCTGCCTGCCAAGATCAGTGACAACCAGGCCTTGCTCTGACTTCGAGAACGTGCTGTCCCCTCTGCCTAGGACATCCTCTCCCCCCCTCAGCCCAGTGAATTCCTGCACACCAACCCAACCTGCCCCAAATGTCCCCGGCTTGGAGGTTTTTCCCTGATTCTACTGGGCAGAACTGTTCCTTGCCTTGGACCCCCATCATCACGCAGCCTGAGAACAGGTTAGCCCTTTATGAAGTAATTGAATGTATCCGAGCCTGTCTCCCCCACTGAACTATAAGCTCCTAGAGGGCAGGGGCTGAGCCTTGGTCTCCTTTGTGTCGGAGTGCCCACCACGTGGAAGGTGTTCAATTAATATTTGTTGCATTATGAATGGTGATGGATAAAGGCCTCTTTGGAGCCAGTCCTCCTCAGTATGCACCCCCTAGAACCCTCTTCCTCCCTCCAGCTGCCAGGGCATCTCAGCTGAAATACAGCCCTTAGCCGGGGTTTCATAGATTGACTGGTACCTGTGAGCACAAAGGCCCAGGCCTCCTGCCTCAATTCTGGGTCACCTTGAAGGGCCATTCTGGCTCTGGGGCCCGCTGTTGGGTGGTGAGGCAATTGCTGGGGCTGCCCTGCAGTTCAACGGCTCCCTCTGCCAGAGCGTCAAAATGGTGCTGCAGAACCAGGCTCAGGTCCCAGGGTTAGCGGCAGTCAGGGTTTCACTTTTCCTCCAGGAAGCCTTTGCCGATTTTCTTAGCCAGCAGCAATTGCTCTCCATGCTAAACTTGCCCATTTGCCCATTCCTGTCCTTTCTGCCCTGGGTCCTGGTTATTTTTTACCTTCTTTATCCTTAACTCGGTCAGCCCCTTAAAGGCAGGAAACATGCTTTCTACATGTCTCACTTAACACAGAGGAGGTGTGAAAAAGGTTTTTCTTCTGTGGAATTGAAGCCTCAGGTGGAGAGAGCGAGGTGGGCAGTGGACAGGTTTTCTGAACAATGAAGTCAGCCCACATGTCCTTCTTTACCCTGCAGGCAGGACTTCTGTAAAGGATGCCCAATTAATGGCAAAACCTCAACCATCCTTCCAACTGCTGGCCCCAGCTGCTGCTTCTGGGCTAATTTTATTTATTTATTTGTAATTTATACCCAGCCTGCTTCCAAAAAGGATTTGAGGCGGCACTCTGGGCTAATAAAGCATTTAAATTGAGGCACTGCCTCGCTTCCAAAGTGCTGCCTTGATAGAAATATTTAGTGAGGAGCCAGGCCGCAGGGCCGTAAAAGATGGAACTGCCATTCTGCCTGTCGCTCTTCTTCCAGGGAGATAGGTGTCTGGGGAAGCCATTTAACAAGCTTCCCAGGGACAGGGACTTTGAGGGAGGGCGCCACCCTACCCCCCACCTTCAGCTTTCTTAGACTGCCATGGATTTTGCTGATGAGTGGAAACTAGCCCCAAACACACACACACACACACAGGACGGAGTTGAATGGGTTGTAAAGGTCCCAGGATGGCAGTGTGTGAAAGCTGGGTGGACCCTGCATCATGATACAGATGGGGAAACTGAGGCCTTGCATTCCCAAGGCCCCATGGCCTCATCCTAGCTGAGGCTTTTTGCCAGCCCCCTCACTCAGCAAATTTTCTCAAGGGCTTCTTGCAGCTCTCATGATCTAAGAATCCAAAAGGAGACAATTTTCTGAGCCTCAAGGATTTCATGTAAAAATATTCTGAGATGCTTAACTTGGCAGTTAAGGTCAACGTTTGGAAATCCTGTTACCTACGATAAATCTAATCTTTCTTCATTTGCTGTTGTCTGATTAGAGAGTTGTAATATACCACACCTCCCTGCGCTCTCAAACAGTAGGGGTTATGACCTGGATGCTTTTGGCAAGTCAATCTTCTTGGTCAACATCAATGACCATTGTCAGAATCAGTACTGTTTTCAGAAACTGTTTTAATGTCTGTTTATCCCTATGCTAAATGTCCCCCAGACGGTTATGCTCTTTGAGTTACGATGCCTTTTCAATAACTCTCCAGCCTCCATTGCACTGTCAGTGCCTCTGGGCACTTCCTTTACAAAGAGTCCTAGATCCACACAGTCTGGGAGAAATATTATGCGAGCCACATGAGCAGTCTGAAACATTCCTGTAGCTACGTTAAAAATGTTCTTAAGCCCTGGCTAGTGCGGTTCAGTGGATAGAGCATCGGCCCACGCACTGAAGGGCTGATTCCCGGTCAAGGGTACATACAGGCTGCAGGNTCACTCCCTCTAGTCTCTGAAATACTTTTCATCTAATGGTGGAAAGGCAAAATCATCAGCACCTGTTGTATTCCAGCTTGAATGGGCACAGGACACCAGAGAGAGGGACTCTGAGGGAGTCTCACATTTTGGGACAGCATGGATGGACCTGGAGAGTTTATGCTAAGTGAAATAAGCCAGCCAGAGAAAGACAAATACCATATGGTTTCACTTATATGTGAAATCTAATGAACAAAATAGAAACAGACTCATAGACAGAAAACAGACTGACAGCTGTCAGAGGGGAGACAGGAGGCTGGGTGAAAAAGGTAAAGGGATTAAGCAAAAAAACGAACTCAACTCATAGACACAGACAGCAGTGTGGCGATTACCAGAGGGAAAGGGGGTAGAGGGAGGTAGAGGAGAGTAAAGGGGGGGAAAGGGGTGACAAAAAGAGACTTGACTTTGGATGGTGAACACACAATAAAGTATACAGATGATATATTATAGAATTGTACACTTGAAACCTATATAATTTTATTAACCAATGTCACCCCAATAAATTCAATAAAAACTTTAAAATAAATAAAACTCATTGTTAAGTGACTAAGTATATATAAGGTCACATGTCTATGTTTCTCGATAATCTTTTTTGACTGTGTAAAAAAATGTGCGTTTACTTATCCAAGGTAATAGATATCAGAAAATTATTCTTTCCCATAAAATTACAGTAATGGTTTGTTTGCCTGGCAGCCTCTTGTCTGGTAATTTCTGAAGTCCGGAGTACAGCTGAGAACCAGGACATAAGGAGCTAAAGACCACCATGAACAGCCAAGATAAATCACTCTAAGTCCGTAAACTAAACATGCCCACCAGGCCTAGGAAAGCCCCTTTGTAATTCAAGACTGATTTTTTTTTCTTACCTAAATGTAACCTTAGTATAAACTACAACTAGAAATCCAGAGCTGTGATGTCCAGTACGATAACTACAAGTTGCAAATGGCTATTGAGCACTTGCAATGTGACAAGTCCAATGGAGATGGGCCGTAAGTGGAAATACATGCTGCATTACCAAGTCAGTATAAAGAGACAATATAAAAGTTTTCATTAATTATTGATTTTGGTTCCATGTTGAAATAATCATACTTGTTATATAGTGAGGTATATAACTGTTATTTAAATTAGTTCTACCTTTTAAGAACATTTTTTTAACCCTCCCCTCCCTTCCACTTTCTCTAAAAAAAAAACTAAAAAAAATGGGAAAAACATCAAGTGAGGATTAAAAAAATGTTCTTAAAAGGTAGAACTAATTTAAATAACAGTTATATACCTCACTATATAACAAGTATGATTATTTCAACATGGAACCAAAATCAATAATTAATGAAAACTTTTATATTGTCTCTTTATACTGACTTGGTAACGCAGCATGTATTTCCACTTACGGCCCATCTCCATTGGACTTGTCACATTGCAAGTGCTCAATAGCCATTTGCAACTTGTAGTTATCGTACTGGACATCACAGCTCTGGATTTCTAGTTGTAGTTTATACTAAGGTTACATTTAGGTAAGAAAAAAAAATCAGTCTTGAATTACAAAGGGGCTTTCCTAGGCCTGGTGGGCATGTTTAGTTTACGGACTTAGAGTGATTTATCTTGGCTGTTCATGGTGGTCTTTAGCTCCTTATGTCCTGGTTCTCAGCTGTACTCCGGACTTCAGAAATTACCAGACAAGAGGCTGCCAGGCAAACAAACCATTACTGTAATTTTATGGGAAAGAATAATTTTCTGATATCTATTACCTTGGATAAGTAAACGCACATTTTTTTACACAGTCAAAAAAGATTATCGAGAAACATAGACATGTGACCTTATATATACTTAGTCACTTAACAATGAGTTTTATTTATTTTAAAGTTTTTATTGAATTTATTGGGGTGACATTGGTTAATAAAATTATATAGGTTTCAAGTGTACAATTCTATAATATATCATCTGTATACTTTATTGTGTGTTCACCATCCAAAGTCAAGTCTCTTTTTGTCACCCCTTTCCCCCCCTTTACTCTCCTCTACCTCCCTCTACCCCCTTTCCCTCTGGTAATCGCCACACTGCTGTCTGTGTCTATGAGTTGAGTTCGTTTTTTTGCTTAATCCCTTTACCTTTTTCACCCAGCCTCCTGTCTCCCCTCTGACAGCTGTCAGTCTGTTTTCTGTCTATGAGTCTGTTTCTATTTTGTTCATTAGATTTCACATATAAGTGAAACCATATGGTATTTGTCTTTCTCTGGCTGGCTTATTTCACTTAGCATAAACTCTCCAGGTCCATCCATGCTGTCCCAAAATGTGAGACTCCCTCAGAGTCCCTCTCTCTGGTGTCCTGTGCCCATTCAAGCTGGAATACAACAGGTGCTGATGATTTTGCCTTTCCACCATTAGATGAAAAGTATTTCAGAGACTAGAGGGAGTGAGACTTCTCTTATTTCCACATCCCCAGCAGCCAACTTGGCACACTGCAGGTGCTAATAAATGGTTATCGAATTAGCTAATGAATTAATGAAACGCTGATGAAATGCAAATGCATGGAAAATAACAGGTGCAACACTTTCCCAGGAGAAACACGGGTGTTCTTTGTTATCTGGTTCAGATAACATGGGCCCCTAACAAACGCCTGTCTCCATGTAAAGTGAGGGTGCTAGGCAAGCTGCTCCTTATGAGCTCCGTCAGCTCTGAGAGTCTATGAACCTGTGGTATGTGGCAGCAAGTGCCCCCACAGAACAAAAGCTCGTTCAGGGTGACCATATAATTTGATCATCCAAACTAAGATACTTTTGAGAGTGAAAGGGGATGCTTTCCATATGCTATTAATAATTCCTCCAGGCTGACGTGTAAACAGGGGTTGCCTCTGGGCAAACTGGGAGGTGGGTCCTCCTGTTCCTACTTCACGGAGCCTTCCTGAGTGAGCCAATCCCAGCAAAGTGCCCTGTGCGCAATGCACACGGCCTGCTCCATCGCCGAGCCCGGGACGCCCCGTCTCACGCGTATGCCAACTGTTCTCCTCTGGATGGTAAGCTCTACAGGAATCAGGGCTGTGTCCCCTTCGTCCTCTCCATCTTCTCCACCATGGTGACTCGCCACCAGGCCCACGGTAGTATACAGACCCAGGGAATGGGAGAATTGAGCTTCCAGTCTTTGCTGTTTTCTCACCACCCAACAAATATTTAGTAAGTCCTTAATTTGAAGCAGTCCTTGTGCTGGGCCCTGGGGCAATAGGCATCAGTGAAAATCACAGGGAATCCCCAATTGGGTGGAGAAGACTGGCTGTAAATAAAGGAGGGCTAGAATGGAGGTGAGTCACGTCTGGGAGGGCCCAGGAGAGGGAGAGGTAGACTCTACCTGAGATGAATAAGGGGGTGACAAAGTTGGCAGTTATTCTGTCCAGCATCATCTCTTCGTCTTCGGGTACCAGCACCGTGATTTTCCTTTTGGAAAACACTCCTGTGTCATCCTTTGCCCAGGTATTACACCTGGAGCTGATCGCACCCCGTGGCTCCCAGGATGGACACGACAGCTGAGCCTGGTCAGTGACAGCAACACACACTCCTGGCCACAGGGAACATTCCAGGCCTGGGCATCCAATAGAGCCAATGACATTGATATTGGCACTTCTACTGGAGCACTTAAGAAACAGAAGCCCCTGTTCCCCTGGGGAGACCAAAGCTGGCAGAATAATGAGCACAGAGATGCTAATGACTATCTTGTCACCGTAAGGAGAGAAACTCCCTGATCATAAACCCAAAAATAAAAAAGCAGAGCCAAGAGGCAGAGAGATCTGATGGAATCAGTTGAGGGCCTAGATCTAGTCATGCCTGAAGCTGCCTATTTAGACTTCAATTTACTGAGCCAATATAGTCTCTTTTCATGCTTAAGCCAGTCTGCATTGGATTCTGTCACACTAAAAGACTCCTTACTGACAGAATTTCAGAGAGAAGGTATTAAGGTCAGTCAATGAATGATGAGTAGAAATCCATTAGGCAGAGAAAGAGGGAGGGCCTTGTGTGGAGTATAAGGGGGTGTGTGTGTGTGCGTGTGCGTGTGCGTGTGCGTGTGTTTGTGTGGAGGGGGGCAGGGTAGGAGGCGCAATGGCATTGAGATATAGAGTAGCAAGACATTCTGAGATGCCCTGGGGTCAAACCTGGGTGCCTGGTCTGCTCTGCCTTACCCTTTTATCGTGTCCTACCCCGTGGGGACAGTTGTTGGCTGATACAGTGAGTGTTACTGTCTCATTCAGGGAGGTAAAGGTGACCATGATGGAGTCCTGCCCCAGCACCGTCAGCTTCATTTGCTCATTCACCTGCAGATGAAAAAACCAGTACTTAGCGGACCTCTGCTTCTCTTGTCCCCTCCACTCCCCCACCCCCAAACCACAAAGCACAAAACCTCTCTTGGCTTGGGACTGAGGGAACTGTAAAATCTTTCTGGTTCTTATGTTGGAATTTAGCTTTCATGGAGAAGGGAGAATTCCAGTCTCTCTTTGGGGATTAGCAAAAAAAGTAACTGTCTTCTTACCCCTGCCCCTTCCCTTTTCAAACCAAGCTTAGAACCAACTGTGAAAGAGACACAGGAGTCTGGCAGGAAAGCCAGCTTTGGTTCTGGTAGAGCTATATGGGGATGCAGCTTGGGTCAGAAGCCAACATATCCCTGAATCAGATGTGTATCCACCCAGGTACCAGGTCTGATGACGAGCCTTGCTCTACAGTGCACAGAGCAGCACACAGAGTTGACCATATGGCACCAGAACATACCCCTCCAAAGGTGGGTAGGCAGATAGCAAAAGGGAACCCAGCAGGGGCCGAGCTACACATGCTCAGTACCCTCCTCTACAGTTACCAAATATGTCACCACTCTTTCCATGAAAAGAAGCCAAAGGAATTACCCCTTTTCACAACTTCCAAAAGGGTTGGATTTCCTATGTAGCAGTTTCAGGGAGGGTGAGCTGCCCTTATAGCAACTCACTCCTTACTAATAACTCTGTGGTCTAGGGGTCCCAGTTTTGTCTCCTGTTAGCAAGCCATTGAGCCTCTCTGAAGTGCAAATTCTTCAATGTGAAATAGCTGAAAGCCTAGTATTAGGTTCAAATGAGATAAAGATATGAAAGTGGCTTTGTGAGTCACAAAGGCCCATATCAAACATGAGCAGGTATAGTCAGGATGTGGCAGAGCAACTCACAGGTAAAGCCCCTGAATAGTTCATGTATGCAGTTATTCATGCACAGTGCTCCTACAGAAGGCCTAGGAGTCTGAAGCCTTAGGCTGCTGCATGATGATACTGCCTTCAGTGTTCAGTGTCCCTGACCTACACACACCTCAGGACTCCTCTGAACTAAGAAAATACTCTCCATTTTGCTCCTTCCACTTCCTCCTGCTATTCCACTTGTTAGCTCAAAGGTCCACATTCAACTTCACCAATGAGTCCTTTCCTTATACTCTGAAGTCTGGATGCTAGTCCTCTCCAACAACCTGAAGACATTTGATCCATGGCTGTCTTCTTGCCAACTCTTTTAATATCTTCAAGCTTGCTGATCATACTCACACTTAAGAGAAACCCTACCCTCTCCAATTCTCCTTTTAAAAAGATGTAGAATAGAGCCGTGGGTAAGAGCTCAAACATTGCAGTTGGTCAAGGTTCAAATCCTAGTGTTGTCACTTACCAGTTGGGCAATTTCAGGTAAGTTACTTCCCTTCTCTGAGCCTGAGGACAATAATAGAATCTGCTTCCTAGGGCACTGAGCAGATTTCATGTGAAAACACATGCAAAGGGCTTAGCATGGTACAGCTGTTTTTATTTTCGCTGCTCCCTGGGTGGTTTCTCTTCTTTTCCCGAATGCCCCCAATACAAACTCAGTCACTGCTCATCTGCTCAGGAGTTCAAGAGCCAGCCCAGATACATATATCCATAATCCCCAATCTCTCACCCTAGGAGAGATTTGACCGTTGAACCCAATCAAAATATTTAAAAACATACTGAGTTTTGACCTTCAGAAACTTCTTTGTTTCCACCCAGAAGATACATACTCCATTGTGGAGTCATCTATAATTCCCTCCTCCTCTTATTTGTCCTTTACAGACCATGCCTGAATGCCACTAAATTCTTTTTATTGAAATAGCTTTTTAAAAATATTGCTACTACCCTTAATCATGTCAGGTCTGGCTAGTAACACCCACCCAGTCTTTCTGCTAGCCTATTCATTGATCTTTCCCTCTCCAGCTGACCTTCCACACAGATGCTAGACTAAGCATGCCAGCCCTCAACTTAAAAACTAGCCAGCTGGTTCTATTTCCAGTATAGTTGAGTCAGCTCCTAAGAGACTTAAAAAACACACCAAAAAACCCCACAACTCCCACAAGAGACAAAACCACCCAAACATATTTCTACATGTTTAAAAGGAGCAGACTGATTTTGAAGAGGCAAAACTTAAAGGAAAGGACCAGCATGGGATGAGTTTCTGTTTTATAGCTTTAGCCTAAAGACAAGCCACAGTCATGGCCCAAATTCTACCATTTTTCTGGTTCAAATAATCAAAAAACAGAACCTGGGGCAAGTACAGTCACAAAAAAGTAAGGAAAGATTTCCAGAAGGGGCAGAGCAAGAAAATGAGAGCCCCAAATTCAATTAATAAACTGTCCACATCTCTGGCTGATCCATGAACTATGCATGAGCAGGGCAGACTCAAGACAGTTTACAGTGCCTGGCCTGTATGGATGAGCATCGACCCATGAACCAAGAGGTCACTGGTTTGATTCCTGGTCAGAGCACATGCCCAGGTGGCAGGCTTAATCCCTAGTAGGGGGCATGCCGGAAGCAGCTGATCGATGTTGACTCTATCCCATCAATGTTTCTATCTTTCACTCCCTCTCCCTTCCTCTCTCTCTAAAATCAATAAAAACATATATATTTTTAAAAAGACAGTTTACAGCTAGGGAAACAAAAAAAACTGAACTGATATTTGAGCTGCTGTCTCACTGTAGCTGAGATAAAGTTTGTGGTATGAGTCAAGTGCCTTGCCTGTTAAAGCAAAAACATTACCACTCTTCAGAGAAATGCATCAGAATCCAGAGGCTCCACAACATAACATTCACAATGTCAGCAATCTAAAATTACTCAACATGTAAAGAACCACTGAAGTGTGAGCCATTCTCAAGGCAAGAGATAATCAATGGAGGCCAATTCTATCTGATATGACCCAGATGTTGAAATTATCAGACAAAGACTTTAAACCACCTAATTTAATTATAGTCAATGAAGTAAAGGAAAATATACTTGTAATGAATGAAAAACTAGAAAATATCAGAAATAGAAAATACAGGAAAGAACTAAATGGCAATTCTAGAACTGAAAACTATTTGAAATTTAAAAATTTCATAGGCCCTGGCCAGTGTGGCTCAGTTGGCTGGAGCATCATCCCATGCATCAAAAAGTTGTGGGTTCAATTCCTGGTCAGGGCACACACCTAGGTTGCAGGTGCAGTCCCTGGTTGGGGCTCGAATGGGAGGCAACCAATGAATGATTCTCTCTCACATTGATGTTTCTCTCTCTCTCCTCCCCTCTCTAAAAAAAAAAATAATAATAATAAAAAAATCATAGAATTAGCATAATAGCAGAATGGAGATGATAGGACAAAGTTAGTGAATTTAGAGATAAATCCATGGAAATTATCAATCTGAAAAGTAAAAAGAAAAAATGTGAACAACAACAACAAAATAACAGAGCCTCAGGGATCTTTGGAACAATATTTAAAGGTCTAAAATACATGTGATTGGAGTCACAGAAGAAAAGGAGGGAGACTGGAGTATAATTTTTTTTCTAATGTAAGATTTCCTGAATATGGTGAAAGACATGAATTTACAGATTCAAGAAGCTAAGTAAATCCCAGACAGAATAAATATTAAGACAACACCTAGACATATCATATCCAAACTTAGAAAATCAAAGAAAATATAAAATCTTGAAAGCAGCTAGAGAAAATGAACAATGATTTGAATAACTACAGACTTCTGATCATAAACTGTGGAGGTCAGACACAGTGGAACAACATCTTTAAATGCTAAACAATAACAACAAACAGTCAACCCAGAATCCTAGATCTAGCAAAAATATCCTTTAATAAAGACATTATTTTCACATGAAAGAAAACAATTTGTTGCCTGCAGATCTACACTTCAAGAAATGCTAAAGGAAGCTCTTTGAGCTGAAAGAAATGATACCAGAAAGAAACTTAGATTTTCAGGAAGGACTGAAGAGCACTGGAAATCCTGTACTGGGTAAAAACAAACTGGCCACTGCAGCCTCCAAGAGAGTATACACACTCCTTAGCCTGACATCCAATACCTCTCACCTTCACACCACAACATATATCTCTTGGCCCTGTTTCTTTCACAAGAGACACTTGTGAACTTTTAACAATACTACACTGAGTCCCAACTTTGGCCCTTTGCAGACACTATTCCCTCTACCCCTAATCCTCTTGCTTCCTTCTTCTATCTATGTAAATCATATGCATACAAACTCATAACTCAAGGGACACTTTGTCTTCCAAGCCACTCCTGACTGCTCCAGGCTCTGTTGTGTATTTCTGTATGCAGCTCCAAGGAACAGAGCAAATAATTGGAATACATTGCTAAAACATTTTGGTGATATCAAAGCACCTTCCCCTCCATTATTTCATTTAGCTCTCACAAAAGCAGTTCAAGGTAGGAGAGCAGGTCTGGTGACCCACCTTGTATAGGTGAGACAACCAAAGTCAGAGATGCTGAGTGGTTTTCACAAAGCTGCACAGCCGGAGTCCAGAAAAACTGGCACTAGTACTTCGCTCCTCAGACTCTCATCCCAGTTCTCTATTTAGCCACACTGATACACAACATATGGTGCCTGCTGTAACCAATTTATAATCTTCTTACATTATAAACTTTCATTCAGCTACAAAAAGTTAAATTTTAAGACAATAACTCAATACACTCCTAGACTGAAAATCTTGAACCTGGCCAAGTATCAGAAATACTCAGGAAAACTTCAAAATCCAGAACTCATAACAGACCAATTGAATCAGAATCCCTCTGGAAATGTGCCTTGAAATATGCATTTTTAAAGTCCCATATGTGATTCTGATATGCAACCAGCGCTGAAGCCCCTTCATTGCATGACTAATCATCAAATGACTAATCCAGGCTGTGGGCAACGTGAGAAGAGACAAAGGGGTGTGGGGTGGAGTGCCACAAAGAAGGGAAAGTCTGGCCCTGGCTGGTGTTTCTCAGTGGTTAGAGCATCGTCCTGGGGACCAAAGGGTCTCGGGTTCAATTCACAGTCAAGGGCATGTACCTGGGTTGCAGGTTTGATCCCTGGCCCCACTCGGGGCATGTGCAGGAGGCAACCAATTGATGTGTGTCTGTCACATCAATGTCTCTCTCTTTCTTCCCCCACCTCCTTCCCTCCCTTCCACTCTCTCTAAAAATCAATGGGAAAAATATCCTTGGGTGAGGATTAACCAAAAAAAAAAACAAAAAAAAAGGGAAAGTCTGAGTAGAGGGTTGAACAGAGAGTATTTTGGATTGGCAGAAAACGAGGGAGTGCATTTCGGGTTGGTATTGGGGATGGAGGTCAGAAGGTTGAGATGTGTTCAAGAGATGGAATGTTTCTGAGCAGAGATTCACTGATCTAAAGGAATCAGGACCTAAGGATAAGAATGCATTGGCCTATGCAGAGGATAAATAGGAAGGGCAGGAGACAGGAGATTAGGAACAGGATGCCTACCATGCACTCCAAGGGTGCTTCTGTCCATAATCCTTACCTTGGGGTTCTTACTCTTAGGCCACTTTGGGTAGACTCTATGTTCTGTGATCTTTCTCTGAATCCCAACCCTATGAGCTTGTCCCTCTCTCACACCCCTTATTCTTCTCTACCCTGTGTTCTTATTAACCCCACCCAGACTTTTGAATTCCTCAAGGGATGTTGTTCATCTTTATATCCCCTAGATTGGTTATTCTCAGCCAGGGGCAATTTTGTCCCCCAGGGGACATTTGGCAACATCTGGTGATATATTTTGGTTGTCACAACTGAAGAAGGATGTACTACTGCATCTAGTAGGATACTGCTAAATATCCTACACAGTTATAACAAAGAATTATCCATGCCCAAGTGTCAGTAGTGCTAAGGATGGGAAACTCAGGTTTAGATAAAGTGACAAGCACACCTAATTGTTTTATTAATAACTTAAATTTAAGTTATTATTTAATATTAGTAATTCAACATTGAATAATAAATTAATAAATCTTTGATTAATGGCTGTCTGAACAACCCAATGAAAGAAAAAAGGGTTTGCGTCTATCAGCCTCCTTTGACTCCCATAGTTTTTAATTTCACAGGTAGTAAAATTATAAAAACAAAAACTGGGGAGACCAACATAGAATTGCTAACTTTTCTTACTTCAATGCATAGGCATTAAAAATAAAACTACTAACTATTTAATGGTTACTTTCTAAAAGAAAGGACATTTAAACTATCAAAATTTAATATTAATAATAAAAATAACATAGGAATAATATTACCAAGAAAGCTCAGTATAGCAGCCAACAGTTGCTGTAGGCTGGTGAAAAGCTCACTTTAACCAGCCCTGGACCACTGCCCACCAACTTGAGAACCTCTGAATGAGACTACAAACTTCTGGAGAGCAGGGCTCTTGCCTTACAGGTAGTCCTCTGGCTCTTGATGCTGAGCAGCCCAGGGGAGGCTGCCAAGGCAGCCCCACCTGTGCTGCCAACCCCTACCTTATATTCCAGGGAGAGCAAAGTCTCCGTCTTAGAAGCCCAGCTCCACTTGTGGACTGCATAGCCCTTGTAGTCGCTGGTAGTCCCGCCTTCCTCATCCAAGACCAAGACATATGGGCAGCTAGGAGAGACACATAGGTGAGGCACTGCCACCAGGTCCCTGAAGGAAGCCCTTATTACCACTGGCTATAGGGAGGCAGGGCTCTGAGGCTCTGCCCCAGCTGGAGAAAGCATGGTTTCCTGCAGGCAGCCTCACTTCTCTTGCCTAATATGGTTTGAGGCCCCTTCACATCTGTTGATGCTAATGGGAGAATCTGTTGGGAAGGACAGGTCTGAGGGAAATGATGGAGGCTCAGACCAAATCCAAGAGGGACAGAAATGGGATGTGTGCTCTGTTGCTCAGAATCCTGAGTATGCAAGATCTTAGGCATCAAAATGGGAACATCTTTAATATGAAAGTGAGTAATTTCTTTCAAGAATAGTTTCTATGAAAGGCCAGGAAAAATCAATTATTGGCTGGCAAAAATATGTACTTTTTTAAAAATACCCCACAGAAGTGGTGCCTGTGACCTCTCCCTTCACACTCTCTTGGTATAAAACATTTCTCTCCACTAAAGAATTGTTCCATGAATCTAGTCAACAATCAGAGTCTTAGTGCTGTGGGGATACAAGTGGAGTAGATCTTGGAGAGTTGCCATTCTCATTGGCTATGACACAGATATAGCAAGTGAGGGCCTCAAAGTACCCATGTTTCTGCAGGCACTGCCTCTCTGCCTTCCTAAACTTCTGGACACTGCCTGGCCTCTCCTTTCCCTAGGGACTTCTACTTGCTACCTAAGTGCTCCCCTTTGTCACCCCTAGAGATACGTCCATGGGGCCATAATTCCTCCAACCCACTCACCAGGCCTTTAGGTTGTAGTGAACGTAGCCCTGGCCTTCAGCATTGAACAGAGCCAGGAAGAAGTTGGGTGTGTCATTAAAGAGGCAGGTGATGGGTCTCCCTCTGCAGCACGTGGGGATCTGACACATGGCAATGTTTCCGGAGGGATAGCTGGCAGAAAAGGTTAAGTAGAACTAACAAAAAACTTTCCAGGCTCTATTCTCAGATGCTCCATGGAAAGAAAGTCTACAAGTCTAAGTGTTAGCTAAGTGGTAACATTCCCAGTTTTCAAAGACCCTCCCTGCACTTTGCATAACAACGAAATGATTTTGGAACTAAATGCCTCTGGTGCTTTCCTATATATTCTTTCTATTCCTTACAACCACCTTGTAGTAAATATTATCATCTCCATCTCGCAGATGAGTAGGGCTTCCCTGCATCTGAGGGGGTTTCTGGGATGTGGGACTTTCATTGCTAAAACCAGGAAAGTCCTGGGCAAACCAGGACTAGTTGAGAAATTCAAGGTGCAAAGAAATAGTCTGCCTCACATAACACCACAAGGAAGTGGTAGAGCCAGTATCTTAACTTTGAGGCCAGTGATATTTCTAATGCTGTCAGGCTGCCTCCCCTTCTGACTAATCTAGGACAGCAGTCAATATATACCTGCTCATTTCCTACCAAGAGGCCCCAAGAAGCATGGGTCCCAACTAAGAGGGACATGGTGTGGTCAGCTACTATCCTGTTTGCCGGAAATTTCAGAATTACCCTGGACAGAAAAACTTCAGTGGTTGGCACTAGGATCAACCCTCNATTTCAGAATTACCCTGGACAGAAAAACTTCAGTGGTTGGCACTAGGATCGACCCTCTTAATCCTTTCCCACAAACTGATAAAAAATAAATTAATAGAAATTATAAAAAGCAACCAAATAGAAATTCTGAAGCTGAATAGTATAATAAATAAAATGAAAACATTAACTAGATGGGTTTATCAGTAGATTTGCACAGAAGAAAGAATCAGTGAACTTGAAGCGAGATCAACTGAAATTATCCAGGGTGAACCACAGAGAAAAAAAAGAATGACGAAAAATGAAGAGAGACAGAGACCTGTGGGAGAATATCAAGTTGACCAACACATGCATAATAAGATGACCAATAGAAGAAGAAGAGAGGAAGGGGCAGAAAGAATATTTGAATAAATAATGAATGAAAACTCCCAAAATTTTATGAAAGACATCAATCTACACATTCAAGAAACTCAACAAACTCCAACTAGGATAAATTCAAAGATAGCCACACTGAGACACATTATTATCAAACTGCCAATAGACATAGAGAGAATCCTAAAAGCAGCAAGACAAAAGAGAATTGTCATGTACAAGAGATCTTCAATAAGATTAATGTCCAGTTTGTCATCAGAAACCATGGAGGCTAAAAGGCACTAGGATGGAATATTTATAGACCTGAAAGAAAAAAATCTGTCAACCAAGAATTCTATATTAAGCAAAACTATCTTTCAGAAGTGAAGGAGAAATGAAGACTTTCCAGATAAACAAAGGGTGAGGAAGTTCACTGCTACAAGAAATGTTAAAAGGAGTCCTTCCGGCTGAGATGAAAGGATACTTGGCAGTAACTAAAAGATATGCAAAGAAAAAAAGAACACCAGTAAAGTAACTATATAAGTAAATCTAAAAGTCAGTATTATAGTATTTTTGGTTTACAATTCCTCTTTCTTTCCTATGTGATTTGAAAAATCAAATGCATAAAATAATAATTGTAAATCTATGTTAATGGCATAAATCTATATAAAGATGTAATTTGTGATAACAACAACATAAAGAAGGAGGAATAAGCTATATAGAAGCAGAGTTTTGTATACCATTAAGGCTAAGTTAGTATTAATTCAAACTAGTTTGTTGTCATTTGTAATAATCAAGTGTATTAGTTTCTTGGGGCTGCTATAATTAAGTCCCACAAACTGGGTCACTTGAACAGAAGAAATTTCTCTCACAGTTCTGGAGAGTAGCAAGGTGTTGACAGGGCCATGCTTTTGGAGGCTCTGGGGAAGAATCTTTCCTTGCCTCTACCTAGCTTCTAGTGGTTGTCAGGAATCTTTGGTATTCCTTGGTTTATAGATGCATCATTATAATCTCTATCTTAGTTATCACATGGCTTTAACTACCCTGTGTGTGACTCTGTTTTACAGTCTTCTTGAATTAGGGCCCACACTAATCCAATATGGCTTCATTTTAACTTATTACATCTCTAAAACCCTATTTCTAAATATGGCCACATTCTGAGGTTTCATGTGAACATATATTTTTGGCAGACACCATTCAAGCCATGATACCAGGGTAACCACTAAGAAAATAACTTAAAACTATGGAGAAAAGAAAATGAGAAAGGAATCAAAATGTCATGCTACAAAAAAATCAAACACAAAAGCAATTACTTTAAATATAAATGGATTAAACTCTCCAAACAAAGGCAGAGATTGTGAGAATGGATTTTTAAAAAGACATAATCTACATATATGCTGTCTACAAGAGGCCCACTTTCGATACAAAGACACAAGTAGGTTAAAAGTGAAATTATCAAGAGGGATATGCAAATAGTAAACAAAAGAAAGCAAAGTTGGCTATATTGATTATCAGATGAAAGAGACTTTAAAAATTCTTTTACAAGAGACAAAGGACATTATGTATTCAGAAAATAGTCATTGTCTCAAGAATACATAACATTTATAGACATATACACCTTACAAGAGAGCCTTAAGATATATAAAGCAAAAATTGATAGAATTAAAAAAATAAATACTATGAGTTGAAGACTTCAGTACCTCACTTTCAATGATGGATAGAACAATTAGAAAATAAATAAAGAAATAGAGGACTTGGTCAATATTATAAACTGACTAAACTTCACAGGCATATACAGACTATTCCACCCAACAACAGAATACACATTCTTCTCAAGTTCACATGGATCATTCTCTGGTACAGACAACATGTTAGGCCACAAAACAGGTCTCAATAAATTTTAAAAGATTATAGCCTTAGAGAATATATTTCAAAAGAATGAAACTAGAAGTCACTGACAAAAGGAAATTTGGAAAATTCACAAATAGATGGAAATTAAAAAACACAATCAATGGATAAAGAAGAAATCACAAAGTAAATTGAAAAAATTGAGATAAATGAAAACAAAAACACAGCATACCAAAACTTATGGAATAAAGTAAAAGCAATGCTCAGAAATAAATTTTTAGCTATAAATACTGACATTAAAGGAGAAGAAAGATATCAAATCAATAACCCAAACTTCCACCTTAATGAACTATAAAAAGAAAGAGCAAATTAAAGCTAAAACTGGCAAAAAGAGGGAAATAAAGATTAGAGCATAGGAGAAAAAAATAGTGGATAGAAAAACAATAGAGAGAACAAACAAAACAAAAAATTAGTTCTTTGAAAAGATTTTAAAAATTCACAAAACTCTAGCTAAAGTGAGAAAAAAGAAAGACTCAAATTTCTAAAATTATAAATGAAAGTGAACACATTACTAATGAACTTACAAAAATGAAAAATGATCATAAGAGAATTACATGAGCAATTGTACACCTACAAGTTTGGTAACCTAGTTGAAAAGGACAAATACCTAGAAACATGCAAAGGAAAGTTGCAGGATACAAGATCAACACACAAAAATCAGCTGTCCCTCATAAATACAAGATGTCTTTCCATTCATTTCAGTCTTCTTTATTTCAACAATATTTTATAGTTTTCAGTAAACAAGTTTTACACCTTTTTGGTTAAATTTATTTCAAAGTATTCTATCCTTTTTGATGCTATTGTAAATGGCATCATTTCCTTTTGTTCATTGCTTTTCTATTGTACATACAGCATTTCACATCATTTGTTGCTAGTATTCATGGATTAGAAGGGTTAATATTGCTAATGGCATTATTCCCCATAGTGATCTACAGAATCAATGTAAATCCTATCAAAATGTCATCAATCTTTTTCGCAGAAATAGAAAAATTCATATAGAATTTCAAGGGATCCCAAATAACCAAAATAACCTTGGAGAGAGAAAAAAAAGAACAAAGTTGAAGGACTCACATTTCCTGATTTCAATACTTACCACAAAGCCACAATAATCAAAACATAATAACAGACATGAGATCAATGGTATAGAATTGAGAGTAAAAAAATAAACCAATACATCTATGGTCAATTGATTTTCAACAAGGGTCCCAAGACCATTCAAATGGGGAAAAGAACAGTCCCTTCAACAAATAGTTCTGGGACAATTGGTTATCACATGTACAAATATGAAGTTGGACCCTGATCTCACACCATGCAAAAATATAAAAGTCAACTCAAAAATGTATCAAAAACCTAAATGTAAGAGCTATAACTTTAAAACTTTTAGAAGAAAACATAGGAATAAACAATGGGTTCATAGATATGAAAACTAAACTACAAGAAACAAAAAAATAGAAAAATTGGCTTCACCAAAATTAAAAAATTTGCACACCAAAGGATGCTATCAAGAATGTGAAAAGACACCCCACAGAATAGGAAAAATATATGCAAAGCATATACCTGATAAGATTCTAATATCCACAATATATAAAGAACTCTTACAAGAAAAAGACAATCAACAAATGAGCAGAGGATTTGAATACATATTTCTAAAAATATATATATACAAAGAAGGCCCATGACATGCTTGAAATCATTAGTTATGAAGGAAATGCAAGTCAAAACCATAATGAGATATCAGTTCACACCCACAAGAATGTCTGGAATTTAAAAACTGAAAAATATCAAGTATAGTCAAGGATATAAAGAAATTAGAACCCTCACACATTGCTGGTAGAAATGTAAAATGGTGCAGCCACCATGAAAAACATTTTGGAGGCTTCTCAATAAATTAAACATAGAATTACCATATGACTCAGTAATTCTACTGTTAGATATAGACCTAAAAGAATTGAAAACAGGTGTGTGAATAAAAACTTCTACAAGAATTGTTCATAGCAGCATTAGTCACAATAGCCAAATGGTGGAAACAACCTAATGTCCATAAATGAAAGAACGAATTTTTTAAAAGTGGTGTTATCCATATAATAAAATATTATCTAGCCACCAAAAGGAAGGAAATTCTGACGAATACTACAGCATGTACAAACCTTGAAAACATTGATAAGTGAAAAAAGTCAGACACAAAAGGCCACATATTGCAGGATTCCATTTATATGAGATGTCCACAATAGGCAAACACACAGAAAGCAAATTGGTGATGCCAAGGCTGGAGGTGGGGGAAAAAGTGGAGTGAATACTTAATAGATGTTTTCTTTTGGGGGTGGCAAAAAGGTTTCAGAACTTGATAGAGGTAGTGGTTGTACAATATTGTAAATGTATGAAATGCCACTGAATTATACATATTAAAAGAATCAATTTTATGTTATGTGAATTTCACCCCACTTTAAAAAAAAAAAAATGAATGAAGTACTGGTGCATACTACAGTTGACCCTTGAACAATGTGGGGGTTAGGGGTGCCAAATGCCTGTGCAGTGGAAAAATTCATGTATAACTTAAGTTGGCCCTCCATATTCAACTATTTCCAACCTCTAGTTGACCCCTTGAACAACACAAGTTTGAGCTGCAAGGATCAACTGAACTTTGCACATCAATTTAGCTTCAGACTACTAAACTGAGCAGGGCCAATTGAACTGAATGAGTCAATTGAAAAAAAATCCACTTATAAGTGGACCCCCACCGTTAAAACCTGCCATGTTCAAGGGTCAACTGTACAACGTGGAANAGACTACTAAACTGAGCAGGGCCAATTGAACTGAATGAGTCAATTGAAAAAAAATCCACTTATAAGTGGACCCCCACCGTTAAAACCTGCCATGTTCAAGGGTCAACTGTACAATGTGGAAGAACCTTGAAAACATTATGCTAAGTGAAAGAAGCCAGATACAAAAGGCCACATATTGTATGATTTTACTTATATGAAATATCTGGAATTGGCAAGTACATAGAGGTGAAAAGCAGATTAGCAGTGGTCAGGAAGGGAAGGGGAAGGAAAATGGGAGTCACTGTTTAATAAGTATGGGGTTTCCTTTTGGGATGATGAAAAAGTCTGGAACTAAATGATGGTGATGATTGTATAATATTGTGAATGCACTTGATACCATTAAATTATACACTTCACTATAAATTTTATGGTATGTGCATTTTGCCATATGGTTCTGAGTGCTCAACACATCCCTAAAGGAACAGTGCTGAGCACAGTACTGAACATAGAATGATTAAGGTTTATATCTTTATATCAATGTGATGAGTTTTATACTTCATATGAAAAAGGGCTTTAAGGGAAATTTGGTGGGGAATTAGCGATTGAGGGAAGAGATTCAGGGAGTTGCTGACAACCTAAGTGAAATGAATACTAGGATGGTTCTGGGGTCTGCCCATCCGGACTTGGAGCTTTTTGGCATCCCAAGAGCAGATATATCATTTCTACCTGAGAGCTTTGCCCAGTATCTCTGTGACAACAGAATCAATTGCTAAGCCTACTGTTCTGTGGAAGCCGTGAGGCAAGGGGAGTGTTTTCCAAACATTTGCTTTACTCAAGAGGGATCCAACAGCTGCGTCATGTGTTTTAACCATTTGAACACAGTAACACAGAATTTCTCCTTCAAGATCACTGAGTCCAACTTCCTCATCTTAAAATAGAGGGAAGGGAGGCCCAGAGAGATAAAGTGACTTGTGTGCAGTAGTCACCAAGAAGAACTAAGCCCCAAACCCAGACCTCTTGGGACTCCCAAAGAGGAAACGCATTAACTGCCAGGATATGCTCATTGTTGGGGTATGAGTCAAGCATGCCAGTAGCAATGGCCTGCAGGTTTTGGGTGGTACCACCCAGGCTGGGCTTGGGACTGAGACTCTGAGATAGGTGAGAGAACATGGATTTCAGCAGGCTGGTGTTGGGCCCTGATTGTAAACTAGTCCACCCTCTCTTGTCCCACCAGTAGCAACCTAATTCATAGCCACAGCTTCATGAGGAGCTTAAGGGGATGATCCTATTCAATGCAGTGTAGAGTCAAAAAAAAAAAAAAAAAAAAGTGGGGAGAGGGCAGCCCCATGACCCACAAGTAGTAGCAGCTACCCTGGAAGGAGTTTGCTGTGTTCAATATCACAGGGCGCATTAGAAGCAGGGCCGAAAAGAGTGTGATGAACAGACTCATTTAAGGTCAGAGAAACAATAGGATTCCTTTGACAGGACACTTAAATTCTGAATTTCCAGTTCAGTGGAGAGGAGGCCAAATGAATTGAGGGGGGTGTTGCCAAGCAGGCCTGTCTGGGCAGCCTGTTTGACAGCTCAGAGAGCAGCCCTATTCTCCAAAGGTAGGGGACACTGAATGCCCAGTGGTTTTATCACTCCCCTTCCATCCTCTCTATCCTGCTCTCCACTGGAGAAAATAATCCTAAAAGGCATAAAAATGGTGCCAGAGATAGGGCCCTAAGGAGAGGTGAGGCAGCCCTGAATCTAGGCCAGGCTCTGCCATCAAATTCCTTTTGTGATATTGAGTGAGTCATACTACCCAGTCCTACAATGAAGGGACAAGAATGAATAATGGCTTAGTGTCTCCCCTCTTTGACATCTCATCCAACTCAGACTACAAACCTGGAATAAATGTTTTGCCCTCTCTGACCTCAGCCTTGCTGCCAAATGGGTTGGGCATCTGTGGTCTGGTCCAGCTTTAGCACATGCTAGGGAGTGGGTGACAGGACCCCTGCCAGGAACACAGGGATCCAAGGTGACTTCCTGATCCACTGTTTCCCACCTGGACGTTCTCCAACGGGCGTCCTCTCTGACCTGGAAAAACTCTTAAGACCCTAGAGGACCTGTCCTGGATTGATTGAAAAACCAAAGTAAATACTCAGACCTAGAAGTTCTCTGGGGCTGAGTTGCCGGGGACAAGGGACAGCCCAAATAAAAGGATACTAAACGAAGGAAGACCCATCATAGAAGGTATAGTGCAACTTGATGGTCTTCTTGCCTCCCCTCCACTCCTGAGAGTGCCGACCGAAGTGAGAATGGGAGATGGAAGGCTGGTAAGAGGCGGGAATGGAAGTCTGAGCACCTGGAGGGTGAGAGTGCTGGGAGCTCAGGGTCTGAGCGTCCCCTTTCAGGGTCAACACTGAATGAGAGGCCATCTTTGCCCTGTAGTTGCGTAAGATCATGGGGTAGAAGATATTCCTCCCTCTCCACGAGGTCCTTTCGGCTTCTCTGCAGGGAAGGAGACCAACATATCTTCTAGCCACTTGATTCTTACTCACCAGGGAGGCTCTCCACAGCCCCTCCCAGCTCCTAAAACTCCCATCCCATTTCCCTCTCTCAAAAATATCCATTCCCACCTCCTACCCCTCATCCTTAAAGTTAGTACTTTTAGGAAGAACTGGGAAGAGACCAGTACAGCTCTGAAACCAGTCATTTCCATCTTTATCACTAGGCGAGGACCCACGGAGTGGAACTGTGTGCCGAAGGGGAACCTGGGGGAGCTGGAGACTCACCCTCCAGTCCTGAGGTTATAGGGAAAGAGAGTTTCCTTCCAGAATGTCATAGTAAGGAGCAAAACTGAGTGGCTTCCTTTAATCTATGTTCTATAGCCTAGGGAGCCTAAGACATATATGGCTTAGATGTGACTAAGTTAAAAAGTCCTTTATGGCCCATCATCTGGGCCTTGAGAGAAATGTAGACTTAACTTGCTAGGACTTGTTGGACCCATAATATCATAAATATCATTAACCATCCATTCAATGTTTGCTGTTTAAGAGGTGTTTCTTTTTTTTTTTTTTGGCAGGAGAATTCTGACAAATTATATTAAGGAAGAGACATTCAGGGCACAAACGCTGTATACTGTAAGAAGTCCCGTAAAGGGGTATCACTGGTGAGGAGGCAAAGATCAATGCCTTGAGGTCAGGTCCATCAAGCTGTGGTACCTCAAACAATGCCTCAATTTCCTTACCTACAAAATGGGCATAAATCCCATCTTCCTCATAGACTGTATAAGGACTGAAAAGGATTGTGAGGAAGGACTAGGGACAACCTATCACCCTGTCACTGTTGTTAGGGGCACTGGTTAGCTGACACTTCCTGGTACTCAAACACTTTCGTGACTTCCCCTTTATGTATACACAGGTGACTGACAGCCATGCCCTCCTCTCCCATCCACCTCCAACTTTTGAGGTGCTCACATATGGCGACACATCTCCTGCAGCTTCCCCCGGACCTCAGGGCAGGGGTCGCTGAACTCCACATTGTCAGAGACAGAAGTTCCAGGTCCTCGTTGAGGGGATGACACAGTTATCTCTTCTAAATTTTTTGATTTGCCTGTAGTTGGAGATAAAGAGGTTAGGGACAGAGTTTTAGAAAATGGTTTCTCCTGGGGAAGAGGGTCGGGTGAGGAGAAGGAGAGTCGTATCCCTGAGTTAAAATAATCGGGAGAATCATTTACACTTCCTGGGGACAGGACTTCCTGTTTTATAAGGTCACTTATAAAACAGACATCACTCTATGAGTCAACTCAGAGTGTCAGGAGCAGACTTGTACAGAGTGATGAATCCAGCTATGTTTCCCCAAGGGAAGCCTGGTTCTTGGTGGGGAGGGCATAGACATGCCTGTTGTGGATGCCGAAGTGATTACCTTCTGATATTTCTGATTAAATAAAAAAGTTTCAATTCCGTCTCAACTGGCTTCAACACATCTCTGATGTTGGCTAATCTCAGGCCTTCTGCAGAGGGCAGTGTGGCTCCATTGAGAATTGGACTGCAATTATTTTTATATTGTGATAATATACACATAACAAAAATTTGCTATCTTAACCATTTTTAAGTGTACAGTTCAGCGGTATTAAATACATTCACACTGTTGTACAACCATTACCACTATCCAGCTCTATTACTCTTTTCATTTTGTAAAATTAAAACTTTGTACCCATTAGGCAGTAACTACCATTCCCCTCCCCCAGACTCTGGAAACCACCATCCTACTGTCTGTCTCTATGATTTTGACTACTCTATGTACCTTATAGAAGTGGAATCATACAGTATTTGTCTTCGTGTGACTGCCATATTTCAGGGAGCATAAAGTGCTCAAGGTTCATTCATGTTATAGTATGTGTCAGAATATCCTTCCTTTTAAGGACTGAGTAATATTTCATTGGTAGTGTAGATTACATTTTCTTTATCCATTCATTTATTGATGGACACTTGGGTTGCCTCCATATTTAGCTATTGTGAATAATGCTGCTATAAACACGGGTGTACAAATATCACTTGGAGACCCTGCTTTTAATTCTTTTGACATATACTCAAAAGTGGAATTGCTGGATCTTATGGTAATTCCATTTTTAATTTTTTGAGGAATTGCCCCACAGTTTTCCGCAGCAGCTGTGCCATTTTACATCCCCATCAGCAGTGCACAAGGGTTTCAATATCCTCTCCAACTCTTTTTGTTTGTTTTTGTGATAGTAAATGAGGTAGTTCCTTATTGTAGTTTTGATATGTATTTCCCTAATGATTAGTGATGTTGAACATCTTTCATGTGCTTAATTAGCCATTTGCGTATCTTCTTTGGAGAAATATCTATTTAAGTCCTTTGCCTATTTTAATTCAGTTTGGTTTTTTGTTGTTGAGTTTTAGAAGTTCTCTATATATTCTGGATATCAATCCTTATCAGATATATTGATTTACAAATATCTTCTCCCATTCTGTGGACTGCCTTTTTACTCCGTGGATAGTGTCTTTCGATGCAAAAAGTTAAAAAATTTCCATGAAGTCTAATTGGTCTGTTTTTTCTTGTGTTGCCTATGCCTGTGGTGTCACATCCATGAAATCATTGTCAAATCCAATGTCATAAAGCTTTTCTACAATGTCTTCTTCTAAGAGTTTTATTGTTTTGGTTTTCACATTTAGGTCCTTGACCCATTTGAAGTTAATTTTTGTATATGGTTAAGTGTCCAACTTCATTCCTTCGCAGGTGGTTGTCCAGTTTTCCAGCACCATTTGTTGAAAAGACTGTACTTTCTCCATTGAATGGTCTTGGCACCCTTGTCAAAAATCATTTGATCATATATGCAAAAGTTTACTTCTGAGCTCTCTATTCTATTCCTTTGGTTTATATATCTGTGTTTATACTAATACCACACAGTTTAGGTTGCTGTTGTTTTGTAGTAAGTTTTGAAATCTGAAACTGTGAGTCCCCCAGTTTTGTTCTTTTTTTCAAGGTTGTTTTGGCTATTCAGGGGTCCCTTGAGATTCAATATGAATTTTAGGATGGGTTTTTCTATTTTTGCAAAAAACACAATTGGGGTTTGAATAGGGATTGCATTAAATCTGTAGATCATTCTGGGTGGTACTGGCATTTTAACAATATTAAGTCTTCCATTCCATGAACACAGAATGTGTTTCCATTAAGCTATGTCTCTTAATTTCTTTCAGCAACATTTTATAGTTTGCATTGTACAAGTCTTTCACATTTGGTGAAATCCTAGTATTTAATTCTTTTTGCTGCTGTTGTAAATGAAACTGTTTTTTTAATTTCCTCTTCAGATTGTTTATTATTAATATATGAAAATGCAACTGATTTGTGTTGACTTTATCCTGTTACTTTGCTGAATTCATTTATTAGTTCTAACAGGTTTTTGGTGGACTCTCTAGGGTTTTGACATATAAGATCATATGTGCAGACAGAGATAATTTTATTTCTTCCTTTCCAACATGGATGCCTTTTATTCTCTTTCTTGTCTAATTGCTATAGCTAGAATTTCCAGTACTCTGTTGAATAGAGGTGGTGAAAACATGCATCCTTGTCTTGTTCCTAGTCTTTTACCAATTAAGTATAATATTTGTTGTCAGTCATATATTGCTTTTATTATCTGAAGGTAATTTCCTTTTACTCCTAGTTTATTGAGTGCTGTTGTTTTTTAATCATGAAAGGGTGTTGAATTTTGTCAAATGACTTTTCTGCATCAATTGAGATGATAATGTGGCCTCCCCCTCAATTCATTCTGTTAATGTGGTGTATTACATTGACTTTTTTGGTAAGTTGAGCCCTCCTCGGTGTCATGGTGTATAATCCTTTTAATATACTGAATTTAATAAACTGAATTCTTTTTGCTAGTATTTTGCTGAGGAGTTGTGCATCAATGTTCATGAGGGATATTGGTCTGCAGTTGTTTTTTTCTTGTAGTGTCTTTGGTTCTGGTATCTGGTAATGATGGCCTCATAGAATAAGTTGGGAAGTGTTCCCCCTTCAAATTTTTAGAAAAGTTAGAAAATGATTGGCATTAGTTTTTCTTTAAATGTCTGGACCACTGAAGCCATCAGGTCTAGGGCTTTTCTTTGTTGGGAGTTTTTATTATTATTACTACTGATTCAATCTCCATACTATTTATAAGTCTATTTATCCATGATTTAGTCTTGGTAGGTTTCATGTTTCTAGAAATCTTTCCATTTTATGTAGGTCATCCAATTTATTGGTGTCCAATGGTTTATAGTATTCTTTTGTAATCTTTTTTTATTTCTATAGAAGTAGTGTCCCACTTTCAATTTATTTTAGTAAATTTATTTATTGTCTTCTCTCCTTTTTCTTAGTTGATCTAGCTAAAGGTTTGTCAAATGTGATGTTTTCAAATAATCATATTTTAGTTTCATTGACTTTCTCTATTCTCTATTTCATTTATCTCTGCTCTAATATTTATTATTTCCTTCCTTTTATAGCTTTGGGCTTAGTTTCTTCTTTTTCTAGTTCCTTAAGTTATAAAGTTAGATGTTTGAGATCTTTCTTGTCTTTTTTTTTTTTAATCCTCACCCAAGGATATGTTTTTATTGATTTTGGAGAGAGAGGAAGGGAGAGAGAGAGAGACAGACAGACATTGGTGCGAGAGAGAAACATCGATCAGCTGCCTCCTGTATGCACCCCAACCGGGGATCAAATCCTCAACCTAGGTGTGTGCCCTGAATGGGAATTGAACCTACAACCTTTTGGTATACAGGACAATGCTCCAACTGACTGAGCCACCCAGCCAGGGCCTTTCTTGTCTTTTAATGTAAGCATTTATAACTATAAATTTACCCCTTGATATCATTTTTGCTGCATCCCTTAAGTTTTGGTATGTTGGGTGTTCATTTTCATTCATATCTAAGTATTTTCTAATTTCTTTTGTCATATCTTCTTTAATCTGTTGGTTATTTAAGAATGTTATTTAATATCCACAATTTTGTGAATTTTCCAGTTTTTCTTCTGTTATTGATTTCTAATTTCATCCATTGTGATTGGAGAAGATACTTTGTATGATATCTATCTTTTTAATCTATTGAGATTTAATCTGTGGCCTAACATATGGCCTATTCTGGAAAATGTCCCATATGCACTTGAGAAGAACGTGTTTTCTATTTTTGTTGTGTTCTGTATATGTCTGTTAGAACTAGTTGGTTTGTTGTGTTATTTAAGACCTCTGTTCTTACTTATCTTCTGTCTGGTTGTTTTTTCCATTACTGTGAATGGGGTATTGAAGTTTCCAATTATTATTGTAGAACTGTCCATTTCTGTCTTTAATCTGTCAGTTTTTGTTTCAAATATTTTGATGGTCTGCCATTAAGTACACAAATGTTTGTAATTGTCATATTTTCTTGCTGTATTGAACCTTTTATTAATATATAGTGTCATTCTTTGTCCCTTGTAACCTTTTTTTTTTTACTTAAAGTCCATTTTGTCTGTTCTCTTTTGGTGAATATTTTCATAAAATATTTTTTCCCGTCATTTCACTTATGTCTTTGGATCTCAAGGAAGTCTCTTATAAACAGCATAAAGTTGGATTGTGTGTTCATATCCATTCTGCCAATCTCTGTCTTTTGATTGGAGATTTTTAAAAACATATCTTTATTGATTTCAGAGAGAGGAAAGGAGGGGGAGAGAAAGAGATAGAAACATCAATGATGAGAGAGTCATTGATCGGCTGCCTCCTGCACGTCCCTGACTGGGGATTGAGCCCACAACCCGGGCATGTGCCCTGATCGCGAATCAAACCCCAATCTCCTGGATCCTAGGTTGAACTCAACCACTGAGCCACGCCCAGCTGGGCTTGATTGGAGGTTTTAATTTATTTACATTAATTACTGATGAGGGACTTACTTCTATCATTGTGCTTTTTGTTTTCTATATGCCTTATAGTTTTTTGTCCCTCATATACTGCATTACTGTCTTTTTTGTATTTAGTTGATATTTAAACATTTTGAAATGATTTAATTCCTTTCTCATTTCCATTTTTGTATATTCTGTAGCTGTTTTCTTTGTGTTTACCATGGTGATTATATTGAACGTTCTAAAGCTATAACACTCTAATTTGAATTTTTAAAATTGATCTTAGAAAAGGAAAGGGGGGAGAGAGAGAGGAAGGAGAGAGAAACATCAATTGGTTGCTTCCGGCATGTGCCCTAACTAGAGATTGAACCCAAAACCTGGGTATGTTCCCTTACCGGGAATCAAACCTGCCCCATTTTGGTGCATGGGACAACATTCCAACCAACTGAGTCACACCAGCCAGGGCTCTAATTTGAATTTTTATCATCTTAATTTCAAGAACATACAAAAACTCTCCTCCTTTACAGCTTTGTCTCCACTCCTTTCAGTTGTTGATGTCACAAAATTACATCTTTATAAACTATGTGCTCCAAAACATAAAGTAGGAATTCTCTTAAATGCATTAGTCTTTTAAATTATGTAGAAAACAAGATTTGGAGTTACAAATCAAAGTTATAGTAATAGCTTTTACACTAACAATATTTTTTAAAATGTATGTCTTTTAAAGCATGTAGAAAAAATGCAGTTACAAACCATTGTTATAATACTGCTGGCTTTTATAATTTCCCAAGCTTTTACTTTTTAAAAAAAATTTATTTTATTGTTGAGAGTATTATAGATGTCCCCCATTTCCCCCATTTGCCCAAGCTTTTACTTTTATTGAGATCTTTATTTCTCCACATGGCTTCGAAGTACTGTCTAGTGTATTTTCATTTCATCTTGCAGAATTCCCTGAGCATTTCCTGCAGGGTTGTCTAGTGATCACAAACTCCCTCAGGTTTTGTTTATCTGGGAATGCTTTAATATCTCACTTACTTTTGAAGGACAGTTTTTCTGGTTATAAAATTCTTGATTGACTTTTTCTTTTTTCTTTTAGTGCTTTGAATATACTGGCCCAGATTCTGTGGCCTCCAAAGTTTCTGATGAGAAATATGTTGATAATCTTATTGAGGATTACTTGTATGTAATGATTTGCTCTTCTCTTGCTGCTTTCAAGATTCTCTGTCTTTGTCTTTTGAAAGTTTGATTATAATGTGTCTTAATGTGGGTCTCTTTGAGTTCCTCTTACATGGAATCTGTTGAGCTTCTTTGGTGTTTATATTCAAGACTTTCATCAAATTTGGGGATTTTTCAGCCATTATTTCTTCAAATATTTTCTCTGTCTCTGTTTTACTCTCTCTTCTCCTTCTGGAACTCCCACATTACATATGGTGTTCCACTTGATGGTGTCCCATGGGTCTCAGGCTCTATTAATTTCTTTTCAATCTTTTCTTTCTGTTTTTCAGATTCAATAATTTCCATTACCCTACCTTTGAGTTTGCTGATTCTTTCTTCTGCCTGCTCAGATCTGTGGATGATAATGTCTTGTGTTTGTTCTCCTTATTTTTACAGTTATCTCCTGTGTGTGACAAGTGTTAGGTGGTCTGAGGATATGATGGCATGAAATTGTGGAGATGATCTTCCATGACTAAGTTCCAGAGGCATCTATTCAGGTCCTGCCTGCTTCTGAGTTTCTGCTGCCCACCCAGCTGGAGCCACATGCTCTCCCTGGATATATGCAGGCTCAACTTCACCTTTGTCTCCAGAATAAAACCTGGCTTCATGTCAGGGGCATTTATCAGGCTCCAATTGAGCTCTGAGGGCCTCAGGAATTTTCCTGTCAGCCAAGCCTTGGGGTTTCTGGCTAGTACTTGAGTACCATTTCTGGTATCCACCACCCTGAGTGGTTCCTGGTCCCATCCCCAACTCCTCCTGCCACCAGAGACTTGACCCTGAGGACCAATTACCAGCTGGCTGACTCCTGGAACATATGCTGGCCTGAGCATCCATGCCTGGCCTATACCTGGTTGTCTTGGGTTCTCAAGGGTGACAGCTTCTTGCTTCCATAAGAAACCACTGTTGACAGACTTCTCTCAGTTCTCTTCTTGTAAAGTTGGGCTACTTTCCAGAAAGAGATATTGTCCTCTGGGAGTAGGCCCAACTCCTGGAGCCTGTCTGCTCCAAGTCTGCCTGGCCCTACAACTGCAAAGAGGGCCAACTGGTGAGGTGTGATAGCACATGAGCATGGAACAGATAGGGGATGTCCCAAACCTAAAATGACTTATAACCAGAATTACTCTACAATATATTATCCAAACTAGGAAAGTTCTTATAGTGAAAGTAGGCATAATAGTTATGCCAGGACAATAAGCATAAACTGGGACATTCCTGGGCAAGACAGGATGCATGATTACTTAAAAACAATTGGGGGTGAGGGGGAGACTCAAAGAGATTAACCAAAGAACTCATATGCATAACCAATGGGCACAGACAATAACATGGTGAAGGCCTGGGGTGGGGCAGGGGCTTGGAGGAGGGGGGGAAAGAGAGGGAAATTGGGGGACATCTGTAATACTGTCAAACATAAAATAAAATAAAATTTAAAAAATATTAGGGAAGGTTCCATTCTAGCATGCGTGTGTGAGAATAATTCCAAAACATTATCAAGAATCTGTAAGAAATGCAGTATCATTTAACATAAATCCTAGTGAGAATGATAAAACATCAAGACAAATTGCACCTTGGTAGGGTAGCAGAGGGAAACAACCATATACACAAAGAGACCAACACACATAATTAACTTTTGCTTAGGAACATTACTCAAGGCATTACACTTGAGCTCATTAGGAAGAAAAATCATGAAATCACTGTCTTGAGGATACTCTGTTTTTCCTTAAAGTGACTGTCAATTTAGGTCCAGCTCAGGAGGGGATGTGATAAAAACAGGTGTATGTAAAGCGGGATGCTAAAAGTGATGTTGTGGGCTATTAAACCACAGTGAGAGAAAACGCATCAACAGAGGTAAAGGAACCAGGGAAATGAGAGGGGATAGCTGAATCTACTCTGTGCAGTGAAGCTGAGGATATCAGCTCCATTAGGAAAGGTATTCTTTGTCTTGAGTTCACATGTGTACCCCTGGCATTTAGAACAGTAACTGACAACTAGCAATTGTTTAAATAAACATTTGTTCACTAAATGAAAGGATATAGGATCAGCTTGATATGGAGAGTGAGGCCTGGAGGAAGGCAAATCACACAGGCAGTCAGGGGCAGGGGCAGGAATAAAATCCAAACTTCTCAACTTCCAGCCTTACCTCCAGTGTCTGTGGGAATCAATTGGACAGTATTTGAGCATTCCTACCTTATGTCGACCCTCCCACCACCTCTTTTGAATGTAGTCCTCCCCTACCTACCCCATTCCACCACTCTTCCATCAAAGCCCAGGGAGTAGGGGGAGGCCTGGAAGTTCCTTGAGGCCTCACCCTGCCTTCTCCAGCCTCAACTCATTTCTCCTATGAGCTTCTGGCTGCACAGTCGTTGCTATACTGTTTGGTCTCATCAGCCAGCCATTCTTTCCCTTAAGCCTTTCCTTCTGTTGTAAGTCTTCCTCAATAGACTAGGAGTCCTCTCTATGTCTTCTTTGTTTTCTGCCCACAAGAACTGGCCCAGTTTAAGACACACTGTTAGGTTTTGTATCCTAACACCTCTCTTCAGATACTGGTTCCCCCACTTGCTTTGTGAATAGGAGCAATACAGATCTCTTTGATCAGAGGGGATCAGGTTGGGCTACTGAGGGCATGGAAAATGTGGGTTTGAGAGAAGTACTGTCCCAGGTGAGGAGAACCACATTACCAGGAATGGAGGGCATGTAAACATTCAAATGGTAAGACTGTACTTTGGAGTAACTAGGTTGAGATATGTTGACTTTATGGGAAAGAATGTGTCAACAGCTTCTGTCAACAGCCAGGGAAGCTGTAAATCCTTCCTATCAGAAAAACAAATCAAACTATGCTATTGACCTAAACAGGGAATCTTCTATCTGCCCCCTACCACTCCTATCTCTACAGATGGGCTAAGAGGTCTTGCTGGGAACCACTGTTACCTGTTTTCTTCTTGACTTCCTTTCCAGTTGAGAGTGAAAAGCTCAGACAGCCAGTAGAGGCCTCATAGATAAGCTGATAAGGTGAATTTACTCCCATGATTGAGGTGCTCATAAAAGACTCTGAAGTGGAAGAGAGAGGGATCCTTCTTTTAATTTTTAAATTTTTTTTCTTCTTAGCCAAAAATATAATATGGATTTTTTTTCTAGCAGTATGGTAGACCAATATTCTAAATTGCCCTGTTGCACAAAACTACCACCTCTTGGAATAAAAATACTTTGTAATGCACAAGCAGGTTCTGGGTAATTAAGGAAAATTAAGGTTCCTTTCTACAGTCACCCTCACAACCCCTCCAATATCCATCAAGAGTGAAATGACTGGAGCAGGGAGCAGGGAGCAGCAAGCAAACGCAAAAGGTGACATGATGTTACTGAAGGGCAAATGCAGGTAAAACTGCTGCACTAAGTAGAGAGAATAAACAATGAGCCAGCTAGAAGGAAATTTAAAGTAATCTATTTTCCCTTATCCAAGCCATAGAAATTAGGTGCTTCTTTTACCATTAGATCAGTCTCTTGCAGAATCATACTGTCTTCTGTAGAATTATTTGATTATCTGAACACTTAAAAATTAGAATTTAGCACCCCCATCACTCATGGAAAATCCTGATCATTCTTACATATGCCTCATCAAATCCTTTCCTTATGCTCCCTCCAAATATGGTCATTTCACTGGTTAATGGTTAGGAGATGTTAAGCAACTCATTCATTGACATAGCTCATACAAATTCATAAAGAAAATGGCAAACCTGATTTCACAGGTAGACAAAGATAATAACCAGAGACTACACACTGGATGATGCAATGCACAATCATTCACCATCACTAGTAATCCAAAAACTGAAATTAGAACAACTTTCAGCACCTTCTAACTTAGCAGAAAAGAACAAATAGCCAATGCTGGTAAAGGTGGAATAAAATTAGTCATCCCTGCTGGTGTAGAGAGAATCCATCAAGAAAGTAATTATTAGCAAGCGCTAAACATGTATTCAGACCCTCTACCCCAATAAGCCCTCTCCTGGGTAATCAATCCTAATCACCAAAACAACAGAAATGAGTGAGGTATATAAAGTTGCATATTACAATGCATATTATACTAATAACAAAAAGCCTGGAAACCTTTGGTTAATTATGGAACATAAATATTAGAAGGGATCTGCACCCACTCAAAATGAGAATTATTAGAAGTATATAGCCATGTCGGAAAATATTTGTCTGTTAAGTCAAGGAAACTGAGAAAGAGAAAATTGTAGTATTCTTTTAAAAATACACACACATGAGAGAGAGAAAGAGAGAGAATGAACCACAAAGAAAACTAAGTAAAAGAAAAATAGCTATATGTAAAGATGGCAGGATTATTATTATTTTTTGTATGTTTTATTTAATAATATTGCCATCAACTATAAATCAAGGAGCATCCTGGCTGGTTTGGTTCAGTGGATAGAGCTTCAGCCAGAGGACTGAAGTGCCGTGGGTTTGATTCTGGTCAAGGGCAGGTACCTTGGTTGCAGGCTGGATCCCCACCCCGGTCTGGGCACGTGCAGGAGGCAACCAATCAATCTCTCTCTTTCTCTCTCCTTCTCTCTCTCTCCCCACCTTCCTTCCTCCCCTCCACTCTAAAAAAAAAAAAAAAAATCAATGGAAAAAAAATATGTATCCTCAGGCAAGAATAAAAAAAAAGTCAAGGAGTAGTCCAGTTTTTTTCATGACAACCAAGGACTAATAGGTATTAGGACAGGAGAAAAGGCTGGAACCAGTCTTAGTGCTATGTATACTCTGGATACGGCTTTAAGGGAAGAATACTCTACACTCAGTTATAGCTTTGGTCTGCCTCACATAAGATGGTCTAGAAAAGCAATATTCATGCAAAATAAATTGATTTGCATCTTCTTTTTAATGTCCTGGGAGAGTTATCTAACTCAAGTCCTTCTAAGATGAGTGCTTGTCTAAAAGAAAAGCTCCTTCATTTACATTTTGTCATTTCAATATTTTTCCCCCAAACTCTAGGCTTATTTAAAGAAAGGAGTGTCTGGAACAGATGTGGCAACAAGTGAGAGAGATTTCCTGGGGAATGTGATGGAGGGGGAGGCTTTCCCAGTGCTCCGCTAATGCAGCAGGACACAGACATCACCAAAAGGCTATCTCTCCAGAGTTCAGCTCCTGGCAAATTCTCCTCCACTTGATTAACCACAACCCATGAGGGACACTGGAAGCTACTGTGACACGGGTGACTGCAAGAATGCTTAAATACTTAATGAGGTGGAGTGTGATTGGTGACAACCGTCTCCTTTTCAGGGTGAGGGAACAGAATGTTCAGGTAGGAGAGCACCATGGGCAAGTCTGAGAGTGGGTGCTTGGGGCAGAGCTACCATGACACCCCCCATGGGACCCTCCCTACCCATAAACAGACCAACAGGCAGCTGTCCACCCCAAATGAGATGGATCTCTAAGCCCTATATGGAACACAAGGCACAGAACTCCATATATGCTGGTAATCATCTGCAAAAATAGTTAAAACATAATTTAGAGGACCTGTGTTACCAGGGCATAGGTAATCCTGAACAGAACTGGCATGAGAGACCTCCATTGCATGGTAAATAGCATGGGGGGAAAAAAACCTTTGGGATTTTATCTTAGAAAACAAAACTTATCCAAAAAAATAACCTCCTTTTATCTGTATTTAACATTCATTTCTATTGTAAGCATATGCTAAATCTTATAAGAAATAAAAATGTGTCGATTTTTTTTTGAGGCAGTGTCATTTTTTTTCCTGAATGGTTGTATGATAGCAATAAAACATGAGTCCCTTCATGTTTGTTTTTTGCAAAAAAATCCAAGAACTTTATCGATTTTTATTTCTAATCCTTTGATACCCAACCAACCTTTCTCCATGGAGTCATTACCCTCGGTTTTCCTGTCTTCAGTAGTTTAGTTTTGCTCCACACATCACTCATCAGTGGCTGCACCTGGGAATCGAGCAGCTCTCCAACATCACTTGTACTGACTTCATGAAATCCATATTTTCCCCCAAGGATTGCAATTTTACTATGCAATTTATTTGCACTGTATGTATATATTATTATCAGATGCTTAACCTCTGAACATCAAGGGAAGCCTGACAAATGTTCAGCGAGCAGAAATGCTAAATGGGGACGGATTTTACAGGTGAGGGTAAATGGCTATGAGATACAGTAGCCCTCCCTTAACCACAGGAGATGCATTCCAAGACCCCCAGTGAATGCCTGAAACTGCAGATACCGAATCCTATATATATTATGTTTTTTCCATACTTACATAGGTATGATAAAGCTTAATTTATAAATTAGGCACAGTAAGAGATTAACAATAATAAAATAGAACAATTATAACAGAATATTGTAATAAAAGTTATGTGAACGTGGTCTCTCTCTCTTCAGTAATTTTAATATTTTTTAGTCCAAGCCTATTTCTGAATCTGTGTAACCATCCCTTATTTGTAGTAAATGGCTCAGTGTGACTCATTTTAAAGAATCTCTTGCTGAAGTCTTCATATAGGCTCAATGCTTTCTGGAGCAACATGTTCCCATCAATCAGAACACATTTTCTATTCACGTCTTCTATGCAAAAATGTAATGCCTTTTCCATCTTAACTACACACTTATCACACACTGTGGCTATAACTTTTGCAGTCTGAGGTAAAACAGAAAAATCAGCATGAATTTCTTTTTCCTTTTTCACAGCTCACGGGTAGAAGATCCTTCTTACTGTGGATCTTAGCAACCTTAGCATATGACTTTTCTTTCCTTATTAAGTCTAGAAGTTTTATTTTTTCAACTTAAGGAAGCACTTTACAGCTTCTCTTCAGCATATCCCAATTGCCAGCATCACTACTCTTGCGCTTTGGGGCCATTATTAAGTAAAATAAAGGTGACTTGAACACAAACACTGTGATACCATGATAGTCAATCTGATAACCAAGACCGCTATTAAGTGACTAATGGGTAAGGAGTGTCTACAATGCAGATAAGCTGGACAAAGGGAAGATTCACATCCTGGGTGGGATGGAGTAAGACAGCTCGAGATTTCATCACACTACTCAGAATGGCACACAGTTTAAAACTTATGAACTGTTTATTTCTGGAATTTTCCATTTAATATTTTCAAATCATGGTTGACCACAGGTAACTGAAACTGTGGAAAGTCAAGCTGCAGATAAGAGGGAACTACTGTATAATTTTTTTATGCTTCCTTCTGAAACCACCTAACAATGAGGACTTTTAGGCATTCAAAATGAATACCCTATACCCACCAAGGTTTAAAAATACAGCATTATAGGTATGATTGAATCACTGTGTCATCCAGATCTCATTCCCCTCCACCCCTACCCAAAGATCACTTCCTCCAACTTTGTGCTTTTATACTTGTATTTTGTATAATGTATGGATAAGCAATATATTATTACTTTGCAATCTTTTAAACTTTACTTAAATAGTATCATACCAAATGTATCCTTCTGTAACTTGTTTTTTAACTTAATACTGTTTTTTGAGATTTATGCCTATTGATATAATTGCTTTAGTGTTTGATTCGTTTTCATTTTCACTTCTCATTATGTTCCATTGTCTAAATAGGTAATATTTTACTTATTTTTCTCCTGTTGATAGACATTTAGGTTGTTTCCAATGTTTTGCACTCCAAACGATTCTGCAATAAAGATTTGGGTATGAGTTCTTGCACACATGTGCCAAGTACGACTCTCAAGCCATGACCATGTGAGTACAAAAATTCAGAGTAAACATTTAGAAAACTTTGTAGCAATTTGACATTGCTGTGACATCTTTATCATCTTTATCTTTTTGAAATATCATAAAAGTCAGTCCACAAGAGATTGAAAATTTGCAAATTGGTCCTTCACTGCAGATAGTTTGAGAAGCACAGCTCTAGGGAATAACGTAGAATAACTGCTGGGTTGTAAGATGTTAGAGCATCTCCCACCTCACAGATACCACCGAGCTGCTCTCTGCAGGAACTGCACCAATTTACACACTCACCTGCAGCATTTGAGAATCTCCATTGCTCCACATCCACGTCAACTCTTGAAAATGTCAAACATTTAAACTGGGGATTTGGCCTTTTCATTGCACTCTGGTTGGTACTGTTTGAATTTTCACCTAAGGGCTGAAGCTTGGGTACCTACCTTTCCCCAGAGATCCAACACCATGGCCACTTCTCCTGACAGTGCCAATCAGGGAGTTGAAAGCAACCTCCTTGGCATTGAGGTGGAGGAGCTGGCTGGCCTCCACAAAGCGCCTTGTGATGTCCAGGGGGTTGGCACCTACTAAAGGAATAATGAAAGCAACTCGTTTACGTCCCCAGATGGGGCTAATGCTTCCAGAAAAGGACCTCCATAAATGGCCCAGGAAATAAAGGTAGAGTGGAGAGCTATATCTAGGATAAACAAGTGTGAGGAGACTCCTAATGGAAGGGTCTCAAGCTCTCAAAACCTGTCAGGTGGCATGTTACTTCCTGTCCCCTTGCCTTTCTCTCTTCCATACCCATAGACCTGGGTATCGCTGCTGTTGGTATTTAAAATAATGCAGCATTTAGAAGGTTTAATTACTGATGTGGCTCTAGATCCTGGCATTGATTTTGGGATGGCACTCTTACCATGGATGGACCCCAGCTCTCATAACTCTCCCTGATTCTGGTTCTACTGGGCTCTCTCTGTATTGCCACCCACCAATCGTCCCTCCTTACTGGCAGCTCCACATGCCTCCTCCTCCTTGATGTCACCTCTCTCCACCTCTGCATCATTTCCACAAATTCCACCCATCAGTATCTCTGACCTCACACTGTTCTCCATGGCCAACCTACCAGTCTTGGCTCTACAAAGTTGGGGGAATGGGAAGAAAAAGTGGACAGCAGAGAGGGGTGAGAGGATGATTCTTGGGGGTGATTGTGGAAGGAGTTCAATTCCTACAGCAGATCCACGGTGGCCACCTGTTTCCAGCACATCCTTATATACCTGTTTGGGGCGGGTACGGTAGACACACATACATCGGTCCAGACTGACAATTCCAGGCCCAGAAAAAAATGAAGAATGTGACAAGCCAGCCTTACCAGACACAGACTCCACCATGGCCTTCATCTTCAGGGTGAGTAGCTCAGTTAGCAAGTGGATGGACTGCTGCTGGAACCTGTGCAGGGTCCCCTGGGTGGAGCGTAGCTGACGGCCACGGGTGTGAGGGCGAGTGGTGAGCCTGACTGGCCCACTGGATGTAGATAGTGCCGGTGGTGGTACTGGTGGTGGAGGTGGCTTCTTCTGGATAGGGACCGGCACAGGGATTGATTCCACAGGCACCAAGGGCGGGGTCCCAATGCTGATCTCCAGGCCCGGGATGTCAGATGGGGTAGGCACCATGGGGTCAGAGATGAGCTCCTCCCAAGTGAACTCAAAGATGTTTCTGATGCCCTTAGGTACAGCAATGCCTGAGTTCCGGCACATGATGAGTAATTTGGAGATGTGGGCCAGCAGCTTAGGGGCTGTGGCTGAGTACTGCAGGTACAGTTCTCGGTTACTCTTGACGTCGTTCATGTTGCTAGAATATGCATACTGCTAGGTAATGCTGTCTATCTCGGACAAGAGGGACCTTTGGCTGTAAAGAGTCAGAGCACTCTGAGAGGTGAATGAGAACAGAAGTTCTTACCTAAGGCGAAGGCTTGGAGACAGACAGAATGGAATTGCTGAAATGGCCCTTACAGGTCATTGAGCCAGCGGGTCCTATCCAGGAAGGATGATAATTGGTCACTCCCTCCACAGTAGGGCAAAGGGATGCCCCTCCTCCCTTTTTTCCCCAGAGAAACCTCAGATAGACCCACATTAGTGAGTCACTTTGGGGAGGGTCTGGGGATGAGCAAGTTCCAGAAATGGTTCCTGGGAGTCATACAAACCGAGTTCCTATGGAGGGACTCCAAGGGCTGGAGGAATGGAAAAGATGGGGAAAGGAGAAAGGTTCCATCATACCTTTTGTAGTTAGAGATCTGAGGGTAGAAGATCTTCTTGGGGTCTATTAATAAAAACCTGCAAAAACAAAAAGATATTTCATCAGCTCTCTCTGGAGGAAGGTGATAAGCTTCCTGGTTGGGTAACTCTAAGTTGCAATGCAAGGATGGACATAGAATTATTCAACATGTACATCCCAGGGCAGACAGGAAAGGATGAGGAAAATGAGCTTTCTTAATTCAATGACTAATATCATTTGCCACATTTCATAAAACTGAAGATTTTATGTAATTAATGCGCCATCTTACAAGAAAAATATCAATGTAAGTACCACTGTAAGACATATCAATTTCAGAGATGTTAATGGGAAAAAATGTATGCCTTAAAATCAGCAAACTACAGTAGTATTTTTCCACTTTAATTAAACTTCTTGAGAGCTCTGAGTGCTCATCAAGTGGGCATATGTGGCTGTGAGGTTAGCAGATAAGTGTACTCTTGTCTGGGTCAGCTGAACACCATTAGATGCTACTAGGTAGTTTTTACCCTAACATTCTTCTAAATTGTGTTTTATTTTTATCTTCTTACTTTATACCAAAAATAGACCACTGGTTGAAGAATGGGAGTTTGAAGAACAATTTGATGAACACAAAATTGGCTAGAAAAAATCTGCAAATAAACCTCTAGGGTTTTGTAATCAGATCTGAAAGTTTCATTCATCTGATCAAAATAAACCCCATAAGGATATGCCATTGTCCATATATCAATCTAAAATACATTAATAAAAATATAAAGTCACTTTTTGATCTTATACTACACAAAAATAATTTAATTTCTGAGAGGTTTTGTGAGAATATGATCCTCTATAAGAGAGGCTCAAGAATCAGGACACAATACTCTCAACAGTAAAAGTAAATTGAAAAAAAGAAAAGAATCAGAACACATAGGAAAGGTTGATCTAGGGGAAGCTGAGAGGAGAAGAGGGTGCCCCCCAACTCTGATCACCTTTGCCAGCATTTCCATGCAGTGTCAGTGTGTGGCCCCTGTTGTCTGACTTAAATGACTCATGAGCACATTTGCAAGTAATGGTGGCCCTTAGAGCAGAAGGGCCGCTGGCTGGTGCCTTCTGACAATTCTTGTTACCACCGCCTTCCAATCATCAATTCTACTACCTTCAGCCTGACAATTTCTCTCACCAAACAATCCTCATTCTTTCGCTTTTCAAACCATGTCCTCTGAAGCCACCACAAGTTCACCATTCCAGGACCACCCCCCTGGCGCCATCAGTGTTTACAGAGCAGGTTCACACCATGATCTGGTGCAACCACCCTGGGGTAAGAAAGTTATTATCTCTGGTTTTACTGATGAGGAATCAGAGCTCTTAGTCAGGAATCACCTATCCGCAGACTCCTGGCACAGAGGCCTTTCCAAGTGCAACACTACTTCCCCATGGCCTTTGAGCTGCCTCTGCCCATATATCAGTAACAAATCTCCAAGAACAAGAGTCCCATAGAGCAAATCCTTCTGACATCCGGCTGACTTGCAGATAAAGTGGCTTCCTATGTCTATTTGCTGACCCCCTGGCATTTATTCCTTAGCTCTGGAGATTCCAAAAAATAGGTTCATTTTTTAAAATGGTCTATAGAACAAAGAAACCACTCAGAATCTCTGTCATCTGGGCAACCAGCCAGAGGATCTGACCCTGACTGTGCTGAGCTGATTTTTTTTTTTAAAGCCAGGACTCAGATGAAGACAAATAAAATCCTTGAAATGTTAACTGGTTTGATGAACTTCTCCCTACCCCCTACCAGTTCCTTTCCTTTGAGGTTAATTTTGAAGATATGTCTTATAGATAAAAGCTTGATTTTTACAACAGCTTTATTGAGATATAATTCACATATCATACAAGTCAGTCTTTTAAAAGTGTACAATGGTTTTTAGTATATTCGAAGTTGTGCAACCAGTAGCACTATCTAATTTTAGAACATTTTCATCACCCCATAAAGAAACCCATTAGCGGTCACTCTCCATTCCTCTTATCCCCAGGCAACCACTAATCTAGTTTCTGTTTCTATAGATTTGCCTGTTCTGGACATTTCATATAAATGAAATCACATAACGTAGCCTTTTGTGACTGGTTTCTTTCACTTAGCATAATGTTTTTGAGGTTTATGTTATAGTAGGTATCAGTACTTCATTTTTAGTAGAATAATATCCCATTATACAGCTATACCACAATTTGTTGATCTAGTCATTATTTGATGGACATTTTGGTTGTTTCCACTTTTTAACTACTATGATTAGTGCTTCTCCGATCATTTATGTACAAGTTTTTGTGTGGGCAGATGTATTTATTCTCTTGGATATTTACCTAGGAGTAAAATTGCTGGGTCATAACTGTTTAACATTTTGAGGATCTGCCAGACTGGCTTCCGAAGTGGCTGCATCATTTTACAATCCCACCTTTAATGTATGAGGTTTCTAATTTCTCCATGTCTTTGTCAACACTTATTATGTCTTTTTTATTACAGTGCCATCCTAGAGGGTGTGAAGTGGTATCCCATTGTGGTTTTGATTTGCATTTCCCTAATGACTAGTGATGCTGAGCATCTTTTCATGTGTTTTTGGCTAATTTATATTTTCTTTGGAGAAAAGTCTATTCAAATCTAAAAGCTGTTTCTTAAAAGAAATATTTTTAATTAAATGCACAAAAACCCTATATTTATTACCATATATTTTATCTCTTCAAAATTCCTCTAGAGGTGACGAGGTGATGATGTGATTATATTCAGGCCTATGGGACAAAGGTGGGAGCTCTTGGGTAGGACTCTGAGAAATCCTTTTAAAGGAAGCTGCCTTCATGGAGACACTTTTTCTTTACCCACTGCCCTCATTCTTCTGGAATGGATGAGATGGCTGTAGCTCCAGCAGCCATTTGGAGCCATGGTGTTACCTTGAGGATGGAAGCCATACATTAAAGGTGGCCGAGCAGAGCAATAAAGCCTGCCTCCTGATAATATCGTGGCATCCCCACACCAGCACTTAGTGATCTACCTCCAAACTTGTTTCACATGAGAGAATAAACTCTAATCTCTTTAAGCCACTTTATTCCGATCTCTATGCTTGCAGTCACGTGTCACTGTCAACTAGCCATGCTGGAATATCATCACTCCCTCCTTTCCAAGTATCCAACTTTTATTCTGTCATTCATTCATTTTTCCATCACTGAGACATGGGCCTTGCCCTGGAGTAGCTCGGTGTTTAACTGACAAAAGAGACTTACATAAGTGAAATGTATAATATATAGGGTCACACTGAAGATTGTCGTTAAAAGTTGAGTAAGAAGTTGCCAGGCAGATAGGAAGAAGGCATTCTTGGCAAAAGGAACAGTATGTACAAAGGAACAGAGACATTTAAAGCATGGTGGGTTCAGAGATTTACAAAACACACCTGTATGGGCGGGGTCACAGAGGTCTATAGGAGAGCACCAGATAAAGTAGGAAAAGTAGTCTAGAGTCAGATCATGAAGGGCCTTATATGTCGTGCTGAAGAATTTGCATTTGTTATATAATCAAATACTCAATACAAAAACTCAAATATATTGTCTTTGTTAGTTGTGTCCCATGTAGAAAGTTTCATCTTTGCAAATGGAAGGCAGGGGCCACGTCGCCTCTTCTTTTATAGTTTCCATGACACTAAGTACAGTCTGCCACATGCAAGAAAGTGAAAAATATTTGTGGCATTGAGGTCCAATGGATAGTCTAAGAGATCTATGTAGATGGCTATAAGCAAAGTTTCAAGGCTTAACTCCCACAAAGAAATGAAAAAATGGTGTAAGAAGTTTATAAAGAAAGCATAAAAAAGATGAGCATTGGCCCAGCACCACTTTCATTCTATAATTTGCTGTCTCCTCTGTTCCAGGCTAGGAACTGAGCAGAGATGAGGGGAGAGGCACACACACCAGGCTACAATGACAAGTCAGAGTGTTCTCTGCAAGGCAGAATGGAAGCCTAGAGAAAGGAGTGTCACTGGGTGGCTAAGTGCTCAGGTTATGTAACCTGAGTCTGGCACTTTATCTGTGTAATGTCTTCAAGGGCCCTGTGTGGACACTGGTCTCTACTTCTCAGGACCATAAGGATTAACTGAGGAGATGCATGTAAAGGGTTGGCACAATGCCTAGCACAGAGTTAAGTGTTCAATGAATGTTAAGTAGAAAGAGGTAATTACTTGAAGTGGTTGAAGAAGGCTGAAAAATAGAAATGACAGAAACTTGTCCAGAAATAGCTGACTAGTGGACACAGAAAGGAAGAGCATTCCAAGCAACAGGGACACTTGTTCAGGCTGGAGGCTTTAAATAGTCTGCAAGTTTGGGGAACTGCAAGTAACTAGATGATGCTACAGGTTAGGGTGGATGGGGGAGGGCCACGTGGGAGGAGTGGACAGGAGACCCTGAGAGGAGCTTGTGTGAAATGCTGAGTCTGGGCTTCATCTTGTAGGTGATGGGAAACCCTAGGATGCAAGCAAAGGAGGCATCTGTATTTTCAGGGGCTCCTCCCAGGGGCTGGCAGTGTGGTGGAAATATGGGGTGGGGAGGAGTGTGTGAGATGTATAGTTGCTGGAGGGATTAGCCAGGAGCGGGGCTGCACCCACGACACCCTGATTTCCATCTACATTAAAAGGGATTTTCAGTCCTAGGTGCATACAGAAGGATACTTAAAAGGCACAGACACAGCAAAATACCAGGGGGACAAAGTAGGACCCAAGCAGATCAGGGGTGAAAAGGGGAAAAATTCTGAACAGTCCTTGGGAAAACCAAGTACATCTGACTAGAACAAAGTCGAAGGGGAAATTTGGGTATAGATTTAAAAGGGCACACTTCCTTCCTTTTCATGGCACTGGTCCAAGAACACGTTTTTGGGTAGAAGTACATAAAGCTGTATAAAAACAAAATGAAACAGCTCCCTCGGGTTATCTGGTGCCAGCTTCCTTTGCTATTTTCTGTTTTCTGGTTCTCTCTAGTTTCAATCAGAAATGCTTTAATAAGGACAGTGAGCAGTCCAAATGGAACTGCATAACTGCAATCTATGACCAAGTAGGGCTTTAGGCTAGGACATGCATGAGACTAAGCCCTCACCTGATACATGCAAGAAGTGGAGATGGGACTGGAAAAATTAATAGGTGCTGTCTTCTCTACCGTTCAGTACATAAATGGTTTTGGATGGATGCTTGAATTCTCTTCACAAATGAGAAGAAAGAAGGGCAGAGCTATAGAGAGAAGAGGATCTAAGTGTAAGCAGTCAGACCAGCAGCACATGTGATCAAGCTTAACCTAACCGCCTGCTACTGAGTATGGTTTACATAGGAGACTGGAACCGCATAGTCACCCCTCATCCTGGAGTGGAATTCTACCTCCACCCTCCGCCAGGGAGACTTACTGTGGCACCAAAGGCCCTTATTAAGACAGATCTCTTGGGAAGACCCATCAACAAACATAAAAATGATCATCCCTTTGACCCAGTGATCTCAGCTCTGAAACTAATGCCCAAGGGGACGGTTGAAACGGGAGAGAAGATGCTTGGGTAATGATCAATGTTGGTTAAACGAAACAAAAAGATGTTTATAGCTGCTTCGTTCCTAATTGTGAAATGCAGCAACCAGCCAACAACCGAGGAAGTGTTTAACAATTATGTATATTAATTTGATGAACTATTAGCAATTAAAAAGAACTGAACTAAAAAAAAAAATGGGCTCAATTTTAGAAATAATGTTATATGAAAGCAAAAAAACCCACAAAATACCCAAATGGTATGCTTACATTGATTACCTATCCCATTAAAACCTATGTAGATCATAATCGGAAGCAGAGATATAAAGCCTTATTTTTAAAAGTAAAAATTTTTAGAAAGAAGACAATAAAACATAGGTCCCCTACAAAGACAGCAGCACTGTTCTCGGACACACTTGTGATCTAGGAGAGCTGGGCTGAGAGCAGGGCCCATTCTACAGCGTACCCCAGGGAAAATCCTTAAAGCCAGGCAAGCAGGGGAACTTTCAGAGTTAGGGAGAAAGTGGCAGTTATAAATGTAGTGGAGAAAGCAGCTGTTTAAATTGAGGATAAGAGTATTTCTAACCACTCCCATCACTGGACAAACACACATACTAGGCATGAATATATAAATGCAGCCCAGGACTGAATGAGAAACACAGTAATAAGATCAATACTAGACCTGGATGACAGGTTTTTCACTAAAAAACACCCTGCTTCATTTGCTTACTTTGATTATCCAGTTTTCCTAGATCTACACCAATCACATAATTCTCTACTCCTCCCCCCGCCACTCCACCCTACCCCTCACACACATTAAGCTAGGTGTACACACCTATACTAATAAAATGCCTCACAAAGACAGCTAGCAAAGGCAGGTGGGAAGATCAGAGGAGTTTCATTTTTGCTCATGGTTTTCAGGAGGTCAATAAATTCTTTTCTTTATCATCACTTACCTTAGCCGTTTAGTTTTTTTTTACAGGAACTGCTTGACATGTAACGGACGTAGTTCAATTTACTGATTGAAAAAAATCTAAACATATATGGAGTGGCTACTCTATGTTGTATTAACTGTAAAAACCAGTACTCACACTGTTCCAAATTCTAAATTCTATTGCCTCATCTGTATGTCACAAGGTTAGTTGAAAACCACCCCCATGGCCTGCATTATGGCTTTAAGAAGAAATAAATTATACACAAGGCTTTGGCAAATGTATGGCTAAACAAAGCAAGAATCTCATGTATATGGATTTAAATTTTCTCCTTTGGGAATTTTGTAAGCAAACAAAATGATTTATTTAGCCAATTCAAACGAACTGTATCAAAACACACAAAGGCCTGAAGAAAAGATTAAAATGAAAACAAATAATTCAAAGCAATTTCTGACCCAAAACATTTCGCTTAGTTCTACAAAGACATGAATAAGGTGTGGTCATGTTTTCTGACAAGAGGTTTTACCACTACTTGCTCCCAAGATAAACACAGCCATAAGAATATCTTAAATGCTTCATGTACACTTGGAAGAAATTGTTTGTCTACCCTTTAGTTATTAATGGGAGGATCATGTGTGGTCAGACCCTAGAGGAGGGGTGGGGAGCGTCTGGGGTGGGAAATCATTTGGTCTCGCCCTGCCAAGGCCTCACCAAAGAGTAGTCCACCATCACATCAGGGGCTAGTTAATTAAATGTTTGACCAAATACAGCAGACTAATTTGTAAGTTGATAATTTTATATGGCCCTTGAATGATGTTATAAATATCCACATGGCCCCTGGCAGGAAAAAAGTTCCCCACTCCTGCCCCAGAGCATGTAAAAACAGATCATTTAGAGTTATACTGTGCAGTACAGTAGCACTAGACCACATGTCTTTTGAGTACCTGAAATACGGTTAATATGTCTAAGAAACTATATTTTCATTTTATTAATTTAAATTTAAAATGACACTTGATTCAGTTATTGGCAAACTTTTAAACATGGTTAAGTATGTTTGGAACAACTTAGATATGTGAATCTCCTCTTTCAACTGTATATTTTATGAAATCTAAAGATCAAGTATTCCTGATGAAAATTTTTATAAGCAGATACACAGTGAATTTTGAAGACTTGGTATGAAAAGAAATATAGACTATCTCATTAATATTTTTATACATTGATTCAATGTTGAAATAAAAGTATATAATAAAATTAACTTTTTTAATGTGGTTACTGGAAAACTGAAAAAGACACAAGACTTACATATTCCTATTGGGCAAAGTGTGGATCTGAAGTCTAAGAATTCTAATGCCACCTGCTGGATGTACTCATACAAAACAGGCCCGTGAGAAATGCTAAAACAAACTGTTAATTAACACTTGAAGAACTCTGGGTCTGCAATGGAAGACAACATAAGAACTGAGCTCACAGAACAGTTAGAGAGGGCACAGAGGAGTGATGGAAAAAATAAAATAAAATTTAAAAAAAAGGAATTGGAAATAGGTTAATACAGTTTCTGAAATCGTAGAGAAAATCTCACTTACACTTATTAGTTGACAGTGACCACACAGACTGCTTCGCTGTCTACCCAACGTACTCTGGGCAACAAAAGGTTACTTGGTGGCGTCTTCCATGACCACTGGCACCCATACTCATGGGCTCATTACTGCCTGACTCCACAATTTGCCTTGAGTCCTTCTGCTCTACCTTATATAAATACAGTCTTTCTCAGATTTGTCAACTGTTTTCCTTCTTCCCTTTTTTGTTTTTCTTATGATTCTAGGATAGCTAATAATTCTTTTTTTTTTTTTTAATATTCCAATTTTTCTTTTTCTCTCTTCTTTTGTCCTACAAGCTGATCCAGTTGGTTTTGTAGTTTTAGCTCTCACATTTAGGTCTTTGATCCACTTTGAGTTGGTCTTGTATATGGCATGAGGTACAGGTCCAAATTCATTATTTTGCATGTGGATAGTCAGTTGTCCCAGAATCGCCTGTTGAAAAAACTATTCTTTCCCCATTGGGTAGTTTTGGCACCGGTGTCAAAAATCAATTTACCATAAGTATATGGGTTTATTTCTGACTCTCAATTCTATTCCATTGATCTATAATGTTTATCCTTACATCAGTACCACATTGTTTTGATTCCTGTAACTTTGTAGAAAGCCTTAAAATCAGAAAGTGTGAGTCCTCCATTTTGTTCTTTTTCAAGTTTGTTTTGGATAGTCTGGGTCCCTTGCAATTCCATATAAATATTAGGATCAGCTTGTCAATTTCTATAAAAAAGGCAGCCGAGTCAGTAGGTTTTAATGTATATTTGTCAAGAGGTATTTCCCTGATTAGGCTGACAGAATGACTATTAATAGGTCTAGCAATTTTGCTCAATATGGAGTCTAGAGGTTAAGTTCTCAGAAACTTTTGTCTAATACTGCTTGATACTGGAGTAACAAGACTGAGAGCACAAGGTGCTGGAGAAAGCATGAACCTGGAGCAAACCTAGCCTAAACTGTGTATAAGTCCTAGATATGCTATTTAGGTGCCACATGACCTTGTACAAGTCAATTGAGCCTCTCTGTGCTCCAATCTGCAATCTGTAATGAGAACGAGGGCCTTACATCAACACCACTGTGCTGTGGGAATAGAAAACATGTGCACCACAGAGCCCAGAGGAGAGTGGGTTCCTTTGGGCACTTGGAAGATCTGCTCTAGCACATTCTTACAGGACTCACAGGCTTGGGAAATGGCCAACTCCATCCGCTTGTCTGCAGCTGCAAAGAGGATACTAAGTTGTCCTCTTGGAGATTAGATCACTTGCCTCCCACAGTGTCTTCTCATTTACCACTCTTTGACAGGCAAAAGTTCCTCCTGACAGATGCTCCATCCACTGATCTGGAAGCTGACCCCTCAGGAAAGACATCTATATGCTACCATTTGCAAAAGGAAAGAAATGGAGCCCTTAAATCTGAGTAAGTCATGGGAATAGGTATGAAAGATAGGATTACAAGCCCCTCGGTGTCAAATATTACTAAATAGAATATTTCTTCCTTACTGACAAATCCAACCTGTATCTTCTAGGGAAAGGACGGGAAAAGAAAGTTACAATTCAGTCCCTAAAATTAAGTCATTTTCTCTGCTCTGGGATAGGAAGACACCACCAACCATACAGACCTAAGTCAGAATGTATATTAACTTCATGTCACTTGTTTATAATATGATATCATATCATCCAGAGTTTCAAAAGTGACTGTGGGAGCTTGGGGCAGGCCGCTGGGGGCAGGAGTGGATGATGTATGTGAACAGCTGGGGTCATGGTTCTGACCAAGGTGCTGCCCTGCGTCACTCTGTGCAGGTGCAGGTCTGCTCCATGTCTGGCTACTGAAAGTACCAGTTCTCTTTTGACCCACAAAGTAATCCGACGGTGGGGCAAACTCAGGATCTCTTTCAGCCCGGAGATCTGACTGCCTCTTCGACCAGTACCCAAAGGAAAATTCTAGTAAAAATAAGAAAGAATATTATTAGAACTGATTATTGAATCAGATGAATTTTTATTGTTATTACATTTCAATCATTGTATGTATTTCTTAAAAGCCACCTCAAATTCTCTGGAAAGCAAAAAATTTATAGAAAATTTTGCATAACCCAGTGGAACCATACGTGAATCCAGGTTAACACACTGGCATGCAGACAATTTTAACTGAACATAGAAGAGCCTGCTAAAAACACAATACATTAAAATATCAAACCTTCATATGATTTTGAAAGCAGTTCCTGACAAATGACATTCCAAAGCTGCAAAACCACGAGACAGTACAAATTTCAGAAAATATCCCCCAAGCGCTTCCCCCAAAAAAACACCTCATCCTTCGACATGATGCCTTGTGAATCCTGGTCCTTTGTAATTACTCTTCCTAGTGCTCCTATTTATAAACAGCTCTGTTTGGATATCAAGAAGAAATGAGTTCAAAGACATGGAGAATTCCTTAAGACTCAAAGGACCACCAAGACTCATCAGAATCATACTCGGATCAAGAGAGCCAGAAAAATTTCCTGTACAGGGCCCATTACTGGAAAGGTTTTTACACCTAGGAGCCCACCCTCCTTACCTTTTCCTCTGTCCCACTCCCGGACGTGTGGCACTCCGGGCCTGGTATCCTTCCTCTCCTGAACGATGACTTCTACTTTGCTACGCTGGGCAGCAATATGTGGAGTTGGGATGGCCTCTGGTTCTGGTGGTAAAGGCCCAATAACATCTCCATCTATTTTTTTGCAAGGGAATAAGACTTTATTATAACAAAGCTTAAAGCTACTTAATTTTTAAAAATATACTAATTATGGGAGTAGAAGTAATAAGCAGTATTTACTGAGCACCTACCATGCTCTAGGCAGGGGGATAAGTACTTTGTATATAATAGTTCATTTAATTATGTAACAACCCTAATAAAGCTAGTATTGGTATTCCCATTTTATCCCCATTTTGTAGATGAGAAAAATTAAGCTAAAAAGTGCTGCACAGGTCAAAAGTGACAGGAGCCAGGATGGATTTCAAGATATCTATATCCCCAGACCAACAATCAAAGGACCAGAAACCCCCCCAGTTACTTAACTAAAGTAAGGGTCTCAGAAAAAGCAAGGGAACTTAGGGTTATAAAGAGCTGGAGCCTGGTGAAAGGCCAAAAGCTATTCAGTTTTGTCCATATTTTAAAGAAAAACTGATGTTTTTAACACACTGTGGTGTGACACTTCACAACTTGTAGAAATAACATGTTCAGGAGTAGAGCAAAAATAAACAGCATGCAGAGCTTAATATGTTACAGGGAGCCAACAGTCATATGAAACTAAATGGACAATTTTCCAATTCATAAATGTTTCTGGTCTTCTTTCAAAGCTAAATTGAACTTGTGTTCAGAATTAGAAAATGGTCTTTGGCTTAGCACAAGGCTTCTGTGAGGGCTGGAGAGGCTTCTATATGCCCCTAGCATCCATACACCTCTTCTTCCTTTTGGGACCAGAATGCCCTGTTTCAGCTGGATATACAACACCTTGCTAGAGAGGGCAATCGCCAGCCTCCCTGCAGATGTGTGTGACTTGCATAGGCTGTGTGTGACTTCTGACGGTCATCCCCCCCAAAAAAGAAGCTGGTTCCCCTCCCCTCTTTGTTCCTTCTCCTGAGGCTGGATCATGAACAGGTACTGGGGAGCAAGCTTCAACTGTTCAGGTTAGAGCAACCCTCTAGGGAATGGCAGAAATAGCAAGACAAGAGGAAGCTGAAGACTGGGTGGCCATCTGAGGCAGAGCTACTACCTACCTGGACACCCATCACCTCTGAAATGTTAAAAGAGAGAAACAGACTTCCCTCTTGTTTGAGGCAGTCTATGTAGGGGTCTCTTTGCCATGGCAATTTAGACAAGACCACCATAACTCATATAGTGAACTACTTTGAATACAATACTTAACCGTGTTTCCAAGTGTTTTAGCAGTCCTTTCATAAGCTGTCCATACTCATATTTATAACTTCTTTATTTAATTATCTGACTTTGTGAATATATTTCTTCTTTAAAATAAATTAATATATAATAATGAACAAACACTGTAGCCACAGCAAAAAATTAGTTTAAAACATGTATGTACACAACTAAACTAAGTGTGAGTTACTAAACCGTTCTATGAAGTGACTCAATGTCCTGTTAATTTCCTTATCTATAACCTAAAAATATTCCTTGGAGTATCATTCCACATCACTCTGGTTAGAAAAACTGTTCCTGTCAGGTGTTTTCTTAATGGCTAATTTCTATATTGCCAGTCTTATTACTGAGACATCAATGGAACTAAAATTTTTCCTTTTAAAGTTTACTAACATGAGCTATGACATACCTTTATTTTCTTCCTCTGCTCCATCATCTTTTGATTTTTTCATCTTTTTTTGTCGCAGTTTGGCAAGTCTTGCTTCTAATATAGCCTTACGCTTTTCTTTTATGTTTTCTCGTTTTGTTCTCTGGTCTGTTGTCTGAAGAGAACAGAAAATTAGAAAATTATTTGCTTTAAGACAAATTCATAATATTTCTGTTTAATTTATTCTAAAAATAGACTGATTTTCATGCCACCTCTAAGAAGCTATCCTTGAGATCATCAAAATGAAGACTCATAAAGCACTCTTTTACACAGTCCCTCTGATGTTTTCTGAGGTTTAGTAAGCATTCAAAGAGCATCCTGGAAGGTTTAACATTCAAGAAAACCAATCAATTCTGTTCTACTCCTTAATCCCTCAAGCTACTTTCTATTTTCTTACCCAGGCCACTCCACAAGTATATTTGAAACAAAATTCAAAATTACACAGGTTACTTCTGAGCAGCTATAATCTTAAAAGTTTGAAACATCAAAATAATATAGCAATTAAAGTTATGAAATCTATAACTGCATTCTGAGTATCAATTTAAATTCCTAATTAATTTACTATATTTTTTTGCAGTATCATCTAACAAGAAATCAACTGCTCAAAGCCTTCTTTACATCAACTCTGAATTTAATTTGTACCTGTTCACGCAGCATCTCTAAAGTTTTCATTTGCTTATTTCTTAACTCTTTATCTCGGGCAAAGGCAAAATATCCAACACCAAGTTGCCGGGCCTCTGAAATATGTCAAAATTATAAAAGAGATTATAGATTTCCCTGATCAGTAAATTACATCCTACAAGAAATTTGGCAAAAAGAAATACAGTGATATTTGGCATGAGTTTTTTTTAAAAAGGCAGATAAGTAAAAAAGCAAGTTAGAAATAGTTTTCATCCTGTTTGCCAAATGATAAACATAACAAAAATTCATTCATTTTCAGTCATAGGCTGTCTCCACTTCTCTTGGGGAACAAACTCTTGGATTAATAGACCCTCTGTTAAGAAGATATTCCCAATATGAGTATTTTTTAGGCTATGAAGTAAACAAAGAGGGTAGTTTCAATTTCAAAAGCAGAAATCTTTTATTTCTACATAAGAACTGCTGCTTTATGAATGAATACTTTCCTTTATGCTTGCCATTAGTTCACGATAAAAACATAATTTAAAAGCTGCAAGATGATTATACCATTTTCACGAATGTCTTCATAATGTATAGGCCCCATTGGCCTTTTAAGGGCCTCCCGTTCTTCTTCCTCCCATTGCTGGCGCTGAAGTTCTTTTCTCATGTCTTCAGATAGTAAGGTTTTTTCATTAGCAGGACTAACAAAACTAGTAGAAGGAAAGAGCAAAAACTATCTTTAGATAAGAGCTTTGAGAAGGCAATGCTTCAGTTCAGTAAGATGGATCATGGATAAGTAACTCTAATTCTCTAATTGATAAACAAGACAGTTCCTTACAGAGGAACCCACTGGACGACTGGGAAATAGCAGAAAATATTTTCACCTTTTTAAGATCAGGCAGCCGACTTGTTACAATAGCATAATGGAATCTTGCCTGCACTCAAGACAAACCACTTTCCTTCCCACCCTCGTCCTGGGCTGAATAGAGGGAGGCAGCCCGGGCAGGGAGGAGGAAGTACAGGCTCTCCTGGATGGCCACCCGTGCGGGGCTGCGGAAGCTGCACACCACGTGGCCTGGCAGTGCCCGTGTTCTGTCAGGTGGCTTAGGGATTCTGCGCTTCCTCCTTTGTGCCAAGCTCAGGCCCACCTGGAGGACTTAGACAAGGTGGACCTTCTCCCAACACTTTCCACACAAAAGTTGCTCTTGCTGAGAGGAATTTTATTCCCTGGGATGTTTTAGCAAGTTATCTCTTAGGTGTCTTAGGCCCCACTGAAAAAAAAATCCAGCTATAAGGCCCTTACTTCAAAATGCAAAGATGTATAAAGAATAAGTTAATAAGCTACTGCCTCCCTGCCCCCGACCCCTTGCTGTAGGATAACCAAGTGTACATTCTTAAACACCTTTTTCCACTGAGGTTCGTTGGTTGGTTTGGTTTAGGCTTATTCTATATGTTACTCTGTAATTAGACATCCTTCCAAGTACAGGCATAGCTCGCTTTATTGAGTTCCACTTTATTGCACTTTGCAGGTATTGTGTTTTTTACAAATTGAAGGTTTGTGGCAACCAAGCACCAAGCAAGTCTATTGGTGTCATTTTTCCAACAGGCTCAGATGACAGTTGGTATTTTTTAGCAATAAAGTATTTTAAATTAAAGTATGTATACTATGTTTTTTACTCTGTTATTTTTTATTTTATTTTTGGGTGGTATTCCATACTTCTTTCCTCTGTTTCCTCTTTTTTTAAGTTATGTGTCCCAGTTTTGGGGTTTTTGTCTGTGGTTGTCATCAGGTTTATGAAAAAGAAAGTTGTATATATATAGTAGTTCTGTTTTTTCTTTTGAGTGCATCTGATCTCCTTATACTACTTTTTTTAGACATAATGCTATTGCATACTTACTAGACTATATTATAGTATAAACATAACTTATATGCACTGGGTAACCAAAAATTTTGTGTGACTTGTTTTATTGTGATACTTGCTTTATTGCGGTAATCTGGAACTTAACCCACAATATCTCCGTGGTGTGTCTGTAAACAGATATAGCTCTAACTCATCCCTTGTAGTAGCTACATGAGACGGATCATCCATTCAGGTTGTTCCCTGAGTGTGGATTATATGTATATGCGTATGCTAACCATGAATAAGTGCTTCAGCAAATATTCTTATACATTACATAAGATCTCCTTACTGGAGCACCAAAGATAACTGAATAAAGACAGCCTTGCCCACAAAACTATCCCTGTGTCTGCATTTCAGACCTAAGCAAAACTTTCCATATAACACACTTACAGCTTCCCCTGAAGATTTTTATCCATCTCCAGCAGATGTGGCAAATCCTTTTTCATGCAGCGCCGGGATCGTCCTAAAGAATCCACATAATCCACCCTGAAAATAAAAGTGAAAAGATGTGAATGAAGGCTTTGTACATGACATATGGTTCCCTAAGTTATTGAGTTGGTGCACAGTAAAAAATTAATGTAGGCCTCGCAACCAAGAAAACCCCTCAACCTAAGAGACCACTACCACTGATAAGAACATGCTTTTTAAAGACACATAATAAACACATTGCACCCTTTATTAAACCTTAGTTTTAGCAAATGTAGAAAATGATTGATCATGTATGTCTCTGATTTCAAAGATAAATACCCGTATAGATCCTTGCTGCAACATCTCAGAACTTACTTGAATCTGGTTTAGACAATTCCAAATAATTTATCAGCATTATAATAACTTTGCTTTATACCAGACTCTAAATTAATTTCTTTAGTCTTCCCAAATCTGACACTTTACTTTTTCCTTTGTTTCTTCTAATTGGTACAGTTCTCCCCAATGAATTGGAAATTTATTTCTTAATATAAATCACAGTATTTTGGAACTCTTTTTAATTAGGAGGAAGCGAACAACATACTTTTTGTGCCACAAAAACACCTCATCAGTAGGCCAGTCTGTTATCTTTTACCCCTAGTTCCTCTTTCCTAATCCTTGCCCAGACTAGAAAGTACTGTAGTTAGGGAAGCCAGGCAGAGAGCCAGGCAAGTGAAATACTTAGACTTTTCACAACAGGTATTATGGACGGATTTTCATGGAAAACATTTCATTTGCATTATAATGCAACAGACATTTAATTTTTTAAAAATTAGGGGCAAGGAATTTCCCACAGCGTTTAGTAAGGTGCTAAAAACACAGAAAGGGGCCAATACTGCTGGTGGACAACTTAGGTCAGATTCTCATGTATGGACTTGGCTTTTGTTAGCAATTTTTTTCCTCTCACACATGCTGATTCCAGCTGTCAGCCCATAATTTAAAAACTGAGCACTTGGGAATCCATTGCTATAGTCTGAAAGCTGATTACCACAAGATATAAAACCTCCAACTGCAAAAAGCAGTGTCTTTTTTTTCTTCTTTTCCTTTTTTTAAAAAAAAATGAATGGAGGAAGAAAACCATCTAGCCAGATGGTCTAAGTAATTATTTACAGTATTTTTGCAGAAACATTTTCCACCACCTGGAATTTAACTACTGAAAGAATTTTGCAAGCAGTTATAATTCTGGAGCCTAATTTAAAAACAAAAGGTCTCAGAACTGCTTGCAGTGTGTCTTCCTTCACTATATGGTGGCACGTGACACCTTCAATTGCCTTCCAAACTCTTCAAATCACTGACAAATTGCTTGTAATCTTACAGGTGTTAATAAGGAAAAGAAAAAGACACTAAACCTTCCAAAGGAGATGAGATTTCGGTTATGAAAAGCAATCATAGGCTATTCTGTTTTTGGAGAAGGCCTCCAACACGTACAGAGTCCATCAAAACAGAAGCAGCAAGACAGTAGTCAGCAACTGCTCTGTGTAATCAGTTACTGAGCAAGCTCTAGGGAAACAATTACTTGAGGTGCCAGAGTAACAGGAGAGCTCAGTCATGTCATTGTCAAAGAGCTCTGGGGGAAGCTAAGGCACATGCCCATGAAATGCTTAACTAACAACATGTTAGTTAAAAGTACCCAAGTTTGCCTCAATTTTTTTTCTTGTAATGAGGCCAGTTATGTCGATAATAAAGAAAAGCATGACCCAAAGGAGTGGGAAATATTTAAGTGCTACCAGAGTTCAGGTGAGAGAGAATCACTTGGAATGAAGCAGCACTGATAGAACAGACTGCATTGTATATGCTTCTCTCTTGGTTGCTTATATAGCAAGCATGCAGCCAGATAACCCACCCCAAATAAGTTTTTAGAAGGTAGGTGAGAACACACCTGTTCTATCTCAATGCGCATGTTTTATCTGGACTGATTTGGACACCCTCAGTAGTATGAAGAGGTGCAATCTCTGTGCTCCACAGTAGGGACTACTCTCTTCAGCTCATAAATGACTTCTGGCCACTGGGCCCAAGCTTCACAAAAGTCAACAAATGCTGCAAACAATCCTAAACAGTTCCTGACAAAGACCCCATGATGAGGATATTTGAGCCTTGAAGGGAAGATGGGTGGGCTCTGCACAGGTAGGACGGTGGGCAGGGAGGGTTAGTTACTCCCAGGACATTTTCATAGCATCAGTGAATCTCTACATAATTTTAAATGCTTATGAGCAAGTTCAAAATAATGTCTTAAGTAGAGAATATCATCAGAATGGAATTTGCATTCTGGTCTCTTATTGACACATTGGTCTCTTTGTAAGGAAAAGACAAGATTGGTTTCCCCATTATTCAACTACATGTAGGTAAAATTCAGGACAATTTCAGTAATAAAGATTTACAAAAAGTCCGCTTATACTCCACAAACAGCAGTTTCTCGGGGATTCTAAAATATGCTTACTTCTTGAAGGAAGTTTAAGGCAAGCAATCAAGGGAAGTAGGCACTGCCATCACTGCTTTATAGGTGAGGAAAGTGAGCCTCAGATTGGTGAGGAACTTAATCAAGGTCACATTGCCAGGGAAAGGTAGAGCTAGTGTTGTCCAGGTCCAAGTCGACAAAGTCTTTATTACACTGCCAGAAAATGTCATAGCTAGAATAAGGCTTACTGGAAACAGAAATCAGCACTATAGACAAAAAAGTCTCCATGAAATCTGAATAAGGACATGGGTAGCAAAGGAACATGCTCCTGCCTAAACAACTCTTTTGCATCAACAAAACAGGTGTATTAATGCCCCCTGCCCCTGGCACAGTGCTTGGCACATGGCAAGAGCTCAGCCTTTATTTGTAATTATTCATTGGAGCTACTGTTTCCACATCTCTAAATCCAATTTTACTTAAAGTGGAGTCTCAAAAGAAAGAAAACTGAGGAAGGATACAGAGAAATGGTTTGATAACAACCACACAAAATCACTCTTAAAAAGTAAACACAAGCCTCACAATGTCAGTATGACCAAATCACATAACATTACCAACCATTCTTCACTGGGGTCCTGGGGAGGAGGTATATCTTTTTCAGAAAGATTTTCTTCATCATCATCTCTTTCTCCTGCATTTCTAGAATCTCTAGTGGCACCAAACGACTCCATTTCTCTGTGCCTGTCTATGATTTTCTGTGTGAAATCCACAAGGTACATATCTTCCACTTCTTCATCTAGGACATAAAAATCAATTGTCACATTCTTGATATCAAGAAGAAAAACACACATGGAATTGATATGAAGCAGTTACATTCATCGATGGCTTCGTGCTCCTGATGGTTCACTAGTCAATGACTCCACCCCATGGAACACTTACAAAACAGAGACACCTCGAGAACTGACAGGGAAGCTGTAAATAGGCTATTGGAAACTACAACATGCAAAAATATCTTTACAAAGCCTGAAGTTTTCCGCTGTCTTGTCAATACACTGAGTAAGCAATACTGTCTCAGGATGTAATTTTAAGATAACAAAACCATTTGATTTCAAGAGATTCATATAGCCAGTTACATAATACAGAAGGAGAGTGCATTTCTCATGTCGTCAGAACAGTAGACCTTGGTTGTTACAGATAATACACCTCTCTAATCAGGTGAGCTGTATCACTTAATCCTAATTCTATTGCTATGGTATGGTAAGTGTCTTAAGGGTCATAATATAGGTAAAACGTCATTTGAATTATTTTTGATCCAATGAACACCACTTTCAGACAAGACTTGTTGCCAGGATCTACAGGACATACAGAGATGTATGAGATACTATCCTCCTCAGGGCTTATGATCTACTCGAGCTAAAACATATACTGAAAAGTTAAATAGCAATGCACGACTTAACCCAGGATGTCTGATATACTCACAAATAATGTTTACATGAAGTTTCCCTATGTGGGATTTAAGATATAATCACTTGAGTCATTTTGTCTGAGATGGAACAGATATTAGGTTACTAGGTGCTGGTTTTATCCCACTGTATAGTGGAGAAGTAACTGAAGCTCCAAAACTTAATTTGCCCAAACATGCAAGCCCAATATGCCTATCAGGAGGTGGGCCTACGCTCTGGACAGAACCAAATCTCCATGTCTATAAGCATATTCTATATGAATCCTATATTAACAATACAAGTTAAAGCTTGAATCAAAATAGAAAAGACTTCAATTTTTTTTAATAAAGGCTTTCCCTAACTCACTCTCTCTCTTTATATATATATATTAAAAGCCACAAAATACCTCAGATGGAGAAGAGATGTACTTCCCCAGAGCTGAGTTATAAGACACATATTATTGAGGACACCCGGTTAATGGCTAGCCTGCTGCTGCTTCAGGAAGAAGGCCAAGCCTCTCCTCATGGCCCCTAGCTTTGAGCGTGCCTGAGCTTCCCATGCCAATTCCCTGCCATGCAGGGAACGCGCCCCTGTTGTCTGAGAAGAGGGCAGCCCATGACTGGGGTCCAGCCTGTCTCCCGTTGCCCCGCTGCCCCCTTTCCCAGCCCCCTCAGGCTCAGCCAACTAGGCTGCCCTGCCAACTCTGGCCCTCTCCTCCCTCTGTTGATCTGCTCTCATCACTCTCCCACTTTCTGCAGAATCCCTTTCTCCAGCTACCCAAAGCCTCTGAGACTCCTATTAGAGCCTGTCTTCTTCCTAAATACTTCCATATATGCCTCCTTTGTAAACTGCTTTGCAAATGCTCTTGTACTATTGCTTAGCTATAGCTTGGATTTTCTTTCTCGGGGGAGGGGGGGTATGAGGAAAGTGATATCTCTTTTTATTATTATCATTTAAAAAGCAATTATAAATGCATCACAGAAAAAATATAGAGAAAAAGAGGGAAACAGGAAACAACTCTAGCACCCTGATATAACGATAATACCTCTCAGTTTTTTACACAGCTCTAATTATTCATAATTGTGGCCTATTTAGACCTTGTTTCCTAACTTTGCTTTGTTCCACTGATGACACCCCTCCTTGAGGGCAGAGGATCTGGTTTATATTGTACTTGCTTGTCCCCTCACAGCACCTAACACATGCCCAGCACCCACTGGGAAACTGGAAAACGATCGCTGATTTTCTTGTCTCTGGTACAGAAAATATCGGTTTGATTTTTTAAATTTCTCCTTATGCTTACAGTTATTAACAAATAATGAAATACCGCAGAGCTGTATGAATTACAGAAAATAAAAGAAGTATAAATAAATAATTTTTATTTACCTATAAAGTCTCCTTTGGTCATTTTTTCATATAATTTAGCTTTTTCTTCCAATTTCTCCCTTGGAGAAAACAAAGCAAGTATTAGAAATGTCTTAACTGCCACCCCCGAAAAGACTGCTCCACCTTCGGCTTCATTGCTGTGATTTTTCCCAAGAGGTCCAACCTGATGACAAGGCAATCATAACTATAGCTGACTACCCCACCCTGAAGGGACCCTCAGACCCAACCACGTCTGCTTTGCCAAATGTAAGCTCTGTAAGAGCATGGCCCATGTTTCCCTTATTCATGACTGTATCCCTAAAACAATACCTAAACCATAGTAGGTGCTCAATCAGTATCTGATGAATGAATAAATGAGTGAATTAAGATTCTAACTTAATTTAAATGCCAAATGCAACTTAAATACCCAAAAGAGAGAGAAAACTACCATTTAACCCAACAATTCTACTTCTGGGTATTTATCCAAAGAAAATGAAAGCACTGCCTGGCCGGCTTGGCTCAGTGGTTGAGGATCGACCTATGAACCAGGAGGTCATGATTCGATTCCCCGTCAGGGCATATGCCTGAGTTTCGGGCTTGGTCCCCAGTGGGGGGTGTGCAGGAGGCAGACAATCAATGATTCTCTCTCATCATTGATGGTTCTAACTCTCTCTCCCTCTCCCTTCCTCTCTCTGAAAGCAATAAAAGCATGTAAAAAATAAAAAATTAAGAAAATGAAAACACTAACTCAAAAGATATATGCACCCCTTTGTTTACTGCAGCATTGTTTACAATAGCCAAGACATGGAAACAACCTAAGTGTCCACTGATGAATAAATGCATAAAGAAAATCACACACATACACACACACACACAGGGGAATACTATTCAGCCATAAAAAAAGAATATCTTTCCATTTGTGACAACACGGGTGGACCTTGAAGGCATTATGCTAAGTGAATTAAGTCAGGCAGAAAGACAAATAACATATGGTCTCACTTACATGTGGACTCTAAAACAAAAACAAAATGACAAGTTCACAGATACAGAGAACAGACTGGTGGTTGGTTGCCAGAATCAGGAGATTGGGGTGGGAGAAATAGGTGAAAGGGCTCAAAAGGTATAAACTTACAGTTATAAGATAAGTAAGTCCTGGGGATGTAATGTACAGCATGGTGATTACAGTTAATAATACTGTACTGTGTATTTGAAAATAGTTTAAAAAGTAAATCTTAAAAGTTCTCATCACAAGGAAAAAAATATAACTATGTATAGTAATGGATGCTAACTAGACTCATCATTTTGCAATATATACAAATTGAATCATTATATCATACACCTGAAGTTAATAATGTCATATGTCAATTATTTCTCAAATATATACATATATATAATTTTTTAAAAGATTACGGCATCTTTCAACAAAATTAAAATTCTGAGAATATGTCCAGTAGTGAGAAAGCTATCTCAAAATCAATGTATCTTTTTTTTAAATACATTTTTTTATTGATTTCAAAAAGAGAGGAAGGGAGAGGGAGAGAGAGATAGAAACATCAGTGATGAGAGTCATTGATAGGGTGCCTCCTGCATGACCCCTGCTGGGGATCAAGCCTGCAACCGGGGCATGTGTCCTGACCGGAATCGAACCAAGATCTCCTGGATCATAGGTCAATGCTAAACTGCTGAGCCATGCCAGCCAGGCAAAAATCAACATATCTTTAAGTAAAATTTCATGTCAGTTGGGGACAGGTCAAATGCTGAGAAAAACAATCCCCAAAATGGGCTGATATGCTGACTTTTATTTTCAGACCCAAAAGGGCAACATTAGCAACCACTATTTTCGACTGCAGAGTTTAATTATACAACCGATCCAAAAGCATATGTGACAGTCTTAACAGACATTAAAACCTGGGATTCTGAGTCCAGGATAATAATACAAATAGGAGAGGAGCTCTTCTTTACAGAAGTATGCCAGCTAATAAATGGAATGAAAAAATAATAAAGATAGAATGATAGAATTAGAAAAATCATCATTTTGAAATCATCACTGTAATAACTGATAAGTGGCATGACTCATCAGTGATGTCAACACCACTACATGAAAATGTAATGTAGCACAGTCTCATAGTTTCCCTCCTTAGATGATTATTTATTACAAATGAGGAAGAGCACCTTTACAGTGGAAAAATCTAGCAGACTACCTTAACTAAGAGATCAAACTTATGACTACCAATAATGACTCAAACTGACAATATGGACCTCCTAACGTAATTCAATGGCAAGGACAAAGTATCACCTACATGGTAGTATTCTTATTAAAAGCAGTTTATGTGACTTATCAGATTTTGGGACCTTGTAGAAACAACTGTCTGGACTATTGAAAAAAGTCAGCACATAACAGACAACAAAAAGGCAAGGGAATTGTTTTAAATGAAAAGAGACCAGAGCGATATGACATGACAACTAAATGCAATGTGTAATCTTTGATTGAATCCTAGGTTAAATTTAAAAATACAACTTTAAAGGACATAATTATACTAGGATAATTGGTGAAATTTAAATATGGACCATATAATAAATAATACTATTTAAGGATGTCCTTGTTTTTGGGAGATATATGCCAAAATATTTGTAGGTCAAGTATCATGATGCTTAACAAAGTTTCTCTATACACACACGAGAGAGAGAATGTGGAAAGATGTTTATTTGTGAACTTAGGTGAAGAGTATTAGAATGTTCTTTATAGTAGTCTTCCAATTATTCTGTTAATTTGAAGTTTTTCATATTAAAAAGTTGGGGGGGGGGAATTTAGTTTCTAAATGCTAATGTCACATCGCCTAGCCCAGAATCACACTCCCATGCACTTCTTAAACACTTGCTGATAATCTTAGTGCCTAAAAGAAGTTCAAAGTGGGACTGTGTTTCATCTTTTAAACTGAGGCTATGTCTTACCTTATTCTAAGATTATAAATACATCTGCAAATTACATTATTTTTAAAGTATATTTTATGTGTACAGAGTATTTGGCTAGAAGGATGATAAAAATTTAAATTGTAAATAAAAAAAGAGTAAAAGTTGAACTTTCATTTCTTTGCTTGGGTAGCCTAAACGGTAATTACATTGACCAGAGTTCAACTTTACCTTGCTTTGTCTAAAGTCTTCTGTTCTTCAATCTTCTGTTCTGCATCCTTCTCAGCTCGATTTGAAACTCCCGCATTCTGTTTGTTCCAGATACTTGGTTTCTGGAAAATAATTTAAAAAGACAAAACAGAACCACCAAATGACTGTAAAACATTTATACTTGTACATCAGAAGGAAAAAAAGAGACCATCAGATCTTATGAATCAATGGAGAGAACTAGATCTTCTGACAGCTAACTTATGTCATGCAATAAAGTGTACGTGGCAAAGCTGGAGCTGAAAAGAATTTCTTTATACAACTATATAGTGTTACCTCTTTATCTTTTATCTCCTGAATGATTCAAGACTGTAGTAAAAATGCATGTATTACAGATAATTAGTAATACAAATAATAGATAACATTACTTATAATATTGGATAACCATTTACAACCGTTAAAGACCCTGATATGTTTTGCTGTATTTCTATATTATCTAACTGTTTGTCTCGGTTTGGATTTATAATACATTATACCTAGATAATCTTCCACGAGAATATAATAAATTACTTATTAATAGCACGTACTTTTCCAAAAGAAGTGCTAAAGAATTAGAGCATTAAAATGTGCTTTTAAAGAATCTTACTATTTTCTATTTTAATAGTTAAGACATCCCATGAAGATGTTCAAATACAAGACAGGGATTTTCCCTTAATATTTTTATGTAGCAGATACCACAAACACTTTCAAAAAACCTAAGTATGGTATAATTCCCCATGTTTGGAATCAATGGAGATAATCAGATCTTATTTTTACCTTATTAGTTGTTTTCGGTTTTCCCAAAACTCCAGAATCTTTTAGAAGTTTTTCTTGTTTGAATTCTTCTTGTTTTCGAAAGAGTTCGGCCTTAAGGTCTACCAACTGGAATAAAACCAAGAAACAAACAAAAACATTTATTTAATTCTATGAGTGACTGGATTTCTAAGTTATTATAATTCTCAAAGCAAGGCTGCAAATTTCCATAAATGGACAAAAATGGATACAAAATTAAAAGTTTACATGTAGAATCCAGTACAAAATAAAACTAAGTCATATTTCATCCTCGCTCTGTTGGAAATGTACTTCTATTCTAACTTTCAACGTTCAAAGTCTTTCTTCTGGGCAAAGGGAGACTGATAAATCAAAGTAAATAAAGTCTACATCTTCTAGAGTCAACTAACATTACTAAACACCTTTCTGACTGGCACTGTACTTGGCTTTTTCATATGGTATAATCTCATGTAATCATCACAACAATTTATTATTTCTACAGGGAAATGTCTTTGTTTAGCAACTATCTGAGTACCCAGTATGTGCCTGGCACTTAACGCTGAAGAGTAGGATACAAACATGAATCGAACATACTCCCACCTCATGTGGAGCCTACAATCTAATAAGAAAGATAACTTATAATACCAGTAAGAAGTAATCAGTGCTGTAAGAATGGTAGAAAGTAGCATAAAAGTTCAGGTAAGGGAGCATTTCCTCCTGTCCAGAGTGATCAGAAGCAGCTTTGAGCTGAACCTTAAAAGATAGGCAGGTTTCAACAGCCAAACATGAAGTGGAATGAGTGAGTGGTAAGAATGCTTCCAAGTTTGTTTTAGTATGTATCAGAAACTCTAAGTTCAACTTAACCACAGGGTTCAAGAATAGGCCAGGGCAAGGGAAACAGGACAACTGAATGAGTACCCATGCCTATCCCTCAGCTGTATCAGTCACCACTGTCTACTGTGCGCAAGATGGCATAAGGGCAGTTTCCTTTTTAAGTATCCTGTACAGCTGCTTATACACATGGGCATTTGTAAATCAACTTACAGAGCCATGAATCATGGACTGAATTTTAAGGGAATTCAAAATGATTAAGTTCAATGATTTTTCTTTTGGAAGAAATAAATTTAAAAGTAGCCTTAGCAGGAGTAATGCAAAGGGCAGTTAATCCCAGGACCTAATATTCTAAATTGAATAAAACAAATAAAAACCTCTCACCTTTTTTTCTAAGCTTTCTTAACCACATCAATTTTTCTAGCCACGCATTTTCCTTTTCTACAACTTATGAATTTTAAAAGGAAGATGCTCAGAAAATTGTCAGTTCCCAGATGGCATTCCTATTATGATCACTGCTAATTTTTTAAGCTGTTGGGATAGGATAACTTTCATATTTGTATCTTTTTGCTTCTTAATCCTCAAACATAATAACTAGTACCAATTTTCAGGGTTAGGTGAGGAAATGGGGTTCAAATGCTGGGACATTTAGACGCTTTCCTTATACTTCCCTTGCATCCTAATATTCTGCAGTAAATTCAAGATTAAATCAGGGGTTAGGCAATTTGCTCTGATATAACGGAAAAGGCAACCAAACTGAGCGAGCCAATTCTCTCACTAAGAATTCTGTGTGTAAGCTGGGGGCTGCCCCTTCACCCTTCTGAGCCTCCATTTCGTCATGTAGAAAAGGGGGACATGGCCAGCACCTACCTCCCAAAGCAGTTGGGAGGAGTCAATGAGAGCGCGTATGAAGTGCTGGCACAAATGAGTCCTCGGAACAGGTTTTCTTCCTAGAAGTGGCCAACTTTAAAAAAAACACGGCCCTGCCCGGCGTGGCTCAGCGGTTGAGCGTCGAATCCCAGGCGATCGGGGTTCGATTCCCGATCAGGGCACATGCCCGGGTTGCGGGCTCGATCAGTGACTCTCTCATCATTGATGTTTCTCTCTCTCTCTCCCCCTCCTTTCCTCTCTCTGATCAATAAAGATATATTAAAACAACAACAACAACAACAAAAAACCCCACGGCTGACAGCCTGTGAGACCCGACAGCGCCGCACACCGCGTCACCCTGCGGGTGCACTGGCCACGGCTTGGTTCCGGGTCAGGGAGAATGTCACTCTGATGTTCCCGGAGGACCTTCCCGGGGTCTGGATCGGAGACCCAGGGCGGGGAACGTGTACGCACAGCCAGCGCAGGCCCGGGTCCTCCTCGCCCGGGGGAAGACCGCGCCGGCAGGAGGCCGGGGCTGGACGTCGCGGAGGGAGGCAGGGAGATTCCGGCCGGTGTCTGAGCCGGGGAAGCCCGGTACCCGCGCATGTCGGAGGGGAGAAAAAAGTTCAGGGTCCTGTAGGTAAGAAAGTTGGTCCGCGTTCCCGTCTGAGAAAAGCCAGGTCCGGTTCCTGTTTGGGGGGAGGGGGTCAGGTCTGGGTCCCCGAGTTAAGACACAAACTAGGCCAAGATTCTTAGCTGGTGGGGGTGGGGAAAAACTCGGAGCCCGTAGCATCACTATACCCGCACTCACCGAGGAGGCTGTGACGTCCAAAGGCTTTTTCCTCCGGTCCATGGTCAGGCCAGAGTGTCCCGGACCAAAAACAATCCTTCACAGGTCCCCGCAGAACTCTAATGCCCGCCTCCGGCGCAACCGGAAGTGTCTCTTAGGAGAGCGACGCTAAATTTGCGACGCCGACGCCATCTTGAGAAGGTCGTGAAGTGATGCAAACGGATCCGCCACCATTTTAAGGAGGTCGGGATGCCCAGGGTTGACGCTAACTGCTGAGGCCATCTTGAGGGCGAAAGATGGAAACGACTAGTAGGCGCCATATTGAGAAGGTCTCATAACTTCGAGCACGATGGACGCCATCTTGAGTGGGTCATTTAGTTGTGGAGGAAGGTGCTATCTTAGGGAGGAATGAACTCAAACGTCTTTCTAGAGAAAAGGAAGGTGAATAAGAACTGGAAAGATCTAAATACTATTTGAGGAGCTGCTGTATGCCAAGCACTGTCTGGTAATGTGCGGACGTCGATTTATTTAATTCTCACAAGAGTTATATAGGAATTATTATATTAATCTTAGTAGAAATAACAATAATAGCTAACATCGATATAATGCTTACTGTGTGCCACTGCACATACTTCAGCTTGTAAGACCATGAACTTTAGAAGCCAGCTTCCTGTTGGTCTTGCTCCTTCACCAGGTATAGGCTCTGTGACCTTGGGGAAGTTACTTAACTTCTCTGTGTCTCAGTCCCCCACATGAGAATGAAACCGTATTTACTTCATGGGGTTAATGAGGATTAAATTAGCTTCTCGAGAAAAATATTAATAATTGTGATAGGTTAATGACCCCTCCCCCCCAAGATATCCATCTTCTAATACCCAGAATTTGTGAATGTTATCTTATATAGCAAAAGGGTGCGATTAGATAAAAGACCTTGAGACGAGGAGGTTATTTGGGTGGACCCAGTGTAATCGGAAGCATCCTTGTAAGAGGGAGGCAGGAGGGTCAGAGTCCCCGAGACAGATCAGAGGACGCTCCACTGTAGGCTTTGGAGAAGGAAGACAGGACCCCTGCCGAGGAATACAGGCCGGCTCTGGAAGCTG